TATGGACGGCGCGCTCGCGCGCACTCTGAAATTCGCTCCAGAAAGACTCTGAAATTCGCTCCAGAAAGGCGCGCTCAGGGCGCTCTGCAAACAGAAAGACAGAGAAAGAGAAACTTAAAGAGAAAGACAGAAAAAGAGAGAGAGAGAGAGAGAGAGAGAAGGAAAGAGAGCAGGGCCGCGCGCTCGTGTGCTATGGACGGCGCGCTGGCACGCGCTCTGAAAAATGCTCCAGAAAGGCTGCGGAGAGAAAGACAGAACAGAGAAAGAGAAAATTAAAGAGAAAGAGAGAGAGAGAGAGAGAGAGAGAAGGAAAGAGAGCAGGGCGAGCGCGTGCGCGTTCGTGTGCTATGGACGGCGCGCTCGGCTCTGAAATACGCTCCAGAAAGGCGCGCTCAGGGTGCGCTCTGCAGAGAGAAAGACAGAGACAGAGAAACTTGAAGAGAAAGAGAGAGAGAGAGAGAGAGAGAGAGAAGGAAAGAGAGCAGGGCGAGCGTGCTATGGACGGCGCGCTCACGCTCCAGAAAGGCGCGCTCAGGTCGCGCTCTGCAGAGAGAAAGACAGAGAAAGAGAAACTTAAAGAGAAAGAGAAACTTACAGAGAAAGAGAGAGAGAGAGAGAGAGAGAAGGAAAGAGAGCAGGGCGCTCTGAAATACGCCCCAGAAAGGCGCGCTCAGGGCGCGCTCTGCAGAGAGAAAGGCAGAGAAAGAGAAACTTAAAGAGAAAGAGAGAGAGAGAGAGAGAGAGAGAGAAGGAAAGAGAGCGGGGCGAGCGCGCGCGCTTCTGTGCTATGGACGGCGCGCTCGCGCACGCTCTGAAATATACGCTTCAGAAAGGCGCGCTCAGGGCGCGCTCTGCAGAGAGAAAGACAGAGAAAGAGAAACTTAAACAGACTAAACAGAAAGAGAGAGAGAGAGAGAGAGAGAAGGAAAGAGAGCAGGGCGAGTGCGCGCGCGCTCGTGTGCTATCGACGGCGAGCTCGCGCGCGCTCTGAAATACGCTGCAGAAAGGCGCGCTCAGCGCGCGCTCTGCAGAGAGGAAGACAGAGAAAGAGTCCTCTGTGCTGGGGTCTGTGGCTGGGCCTTGTCCTCTTCTTGTCCTCCTCTTGTCCTTGTTTTGGCCGCGCCCCTGAACTCTGTGGCTGGGCTCTGTGGCCCGGCTCTGTGCCCGGGTCTTGTCCTCCTCTTGTCCTTGTCTTGGCCGCGCCCCTGAACTCTGTGGCTGGTCTCAGTAAGCCTTACTGGAGAGGAGTGTGGCCGAACAAATAGCGATGTCAATGCCGACAAAAATTCATTGATGAAGCTGTTTGCTCTTTGGGGTGAAAGTAGGGCGTACCAAGAAATCGATTTTTGACTGATATTGGCCTAAACGAATCGTTTTGAAGCTATTTGGGGTCTATGCTTGTATAATGCTGGGGTTTTATCTTAGAAAGAAAAGAGCTGGCCACACTCACTGGCCGCGCCCCTGAACTCTGTGGCTGGGCCCTGTGTGTGGCTGAGCTCTGTGGCTGGGCTTTGTGGCTGGGCCTTGTCCTCCTCTGTCCTCCTCGTCTTGGCCGCGCCCCTGAACTCTGTCAACTCTGTGGCTGGGCTCTGTGGCTGGGCCTTGTCCTCCTCTTGTCCTCCTCTTGGCCGCGCCCCTGAACTCTGTCAACTCGTGGCTGGGCTCTGTGGCTGGGCCTTGTCCTCCTCTTGTCCTCCTCTTGGCCGCGCCCCTGAACTCTGTCAACTCTGTGGCTGGGCTCCGTGGCTGCGCTCTGCAGAGAGAAAGACAGAGAAAGAGAAACTTAAAGAGAAAGAGAAACTTACAGAGAAAGAGAGAGAGAGAGAGAGAGAGAAGGAAAAAGAGCAGGGCGAGCGCGCGCGCGCGCTCTGAAATACGCCCCAGAAAGGCGCGCTCAGGGCGCGCTCTGCAGAGAGAAAGGCAGAGAAAGAGAAACTTAAAGAGAAAGAGAGAGAGAGAGAGAAGGAAAGAGAGCGGGGCGAGCGCGCGCGCTCGTGTGCTATGGACGGCGCGCTCGCGCGCTCTGAAATACGCTCCAGAAAGGCGCGCTCAGGGCGCGCTCTGCAGAGAGAAAGACAGAGAAAGAGAAACTTAAGCAGAAAGAGAGAGAGAGAGAGAAGGAAAGAGAGCAGGGCGAGTGCGCGCGCGCGCTCGTGTGCTATGGACGGCGCGCGCTCTGAAATACGCTCCAGAAAGGCGCGCTCAGGGCGCGCTCTGCAGAGAGGAAGACAGAGAAAGAGAAACTTAAAGAGAAAGAGCGCGCGAGAGAGAGAGAGAAAGACAGCGCAGCGAGCGCCTGCGCCCGCGCGCGCTCGTGTGCTATGGACGGCGCGCTCGCGCGCGCTCTGAAATACGCTCCAGAAAGGCGCGCTCACAGAGAGAGGGAGAGAGGCAGACAGACAGACAAGAAAGAAAGAAAGCAAGCTAGCAAGCAAGCAAGGAAGGACGGAAGAAAGAGAGAAAGAAAGAAACAAACAAAGAAAGACAGCAGGGCGAGCGCGCGCGCTTCTGTGCTATGGACGGGCGCGCTCATGCTCCAGAAAGGCGCCGTCAGAGGGCGCTGTGCAAAGAGAAAGACAGAGTCGAAAGGAACACTTAGAGAGAGAGAGAGAGAGAGCGCGCGCGCGCGTGCTCGTGTGCTATGGACGGCTTACTGGGCTCTTGTCCTCCTCTTGTCCTCTGTGCTGGGGTCTGTGGCTGGGCCTTGTCCTCTTCTTGTCCTCCTCTTGTCATTGTTTTGGCCGCGCCCCTGAACTCTGTGGCTGGGCTCTGTGTCCGGGTCTTGTCCTCCTCTTGTCCTTGTCTTGGCCGCGCCCCTGAACTCTGTGGCTGGTCTCAGTAAGCCTTACTGGAGAGGAGTGTGGCCGAACAAATAGCGATGTCAATGCCGACAAAAATTCATTGATGAAGCTGTTTGCTCTTGGGGTGAAAGTAGGGCGTACCAAGAAATCGATTTTTGACTGATATTGGCGGTCTAAACGAATCGTTTTGAAGCTGTTTGGGGTCTATGCTTGTATAATTTCTTTTTCGATAAGGAAAGGACAAGTCGTTTCATGTCGTCTCGCATCTCTTTCGTATCTACGAAGCTGGGTGACAATGAATTTCAATGATCGACCTTGTGTGGGGCCAAGCTTCGTGGTGACCCACCATATAATTACATATATATATATATATGATTTGTCAGGGAAATTGTGACAAACAATTTTTGGGTGTACAGGTGTGCTTTTAGTACTTCTCATTCAACCCTCCAGTGCCCCAAGTAGTGGATGGGCAGAAGAAGCTTGACGCGGATTGCAAGTTGGCTCTGTGTTTGTGTGTGTGGGGACAACACGTTTTCTATTTTGCCCCCAGATAGCTGAAAACTATAGGGGGTTCTTACTTCTCAATGATTGTGCTTTCAGAGCACTTGGTATTTGGGGTCTATGCCGTTATAATTTTTAGAATAACGAAACGGCGGCATGTCATCTGAGAGAAACGGGTGGCTTCCCAATTCAGGAGCAAGCAAGCATGAGAGTCCAAAGTGCAGCTTGACCCGGGAAGATACAGAATTGGTGCCACCAAGAAATACGATTCCTTTCTACCCACCCGGCTTTTGTAGATGCGAATGACATGTGAAACAAACTTCTCTGGAGTGATACAATCTCACAGAGACGTCCACGTCTGAAGGGTTTGGTCGCATGACGAAGAAACCATACAGACCCTGTATGGACCCCGCGCGGTTTGCACGGAGGCGGCTGCAGGAGCGGCACCACACATTGAGGATGGTCCATCTGCTGGCGGCCACATCATGTTTTCGGGTCGTTTCAATAACCCGCAGATTATTGCTTACATGAAGGTCTTGAAGGGCAGGCTGGATGAACATGGCTTGCGGACTTTCATGGTCCAGGAGGGTGCCAGCGGCGACTTCGCAGCTGCGACTTGTACAGGTCTCTACAGAGCAAAAGTGATGGTATGCTTCTGCACAGACGAGTATGGCGCTATGACGGGTGCGGGCTATGAGACCTACGTTGAGCTTCGCGATGCTCATCAGAAGCATTTACGCCTTTTCCCCATCAAGATGGGCAAGAAGTACCCACCAGAGCCCAAAGACGAGGAAGGCCGCGCTCAAAACAGCCTTGTTTTCCACAGGGGGTTAATCTACATCGATGATACTGAGATGAAAGATGCTAGGGGAGTGGCCGACACGATCGCCAACGCCATATTTGAGCATCCAGAGCTTGCGGAGAGCCTGAAGATCTAAGGGCCTGATGGGAGTTCGTGGGCAGCTAGAAAGAAGCCAGGCTCAAGTGAGGAAGACCACAAGGAGCTGGGGGAGCTGAGGAAGGCCCTCTTTCTCGACCGAACTGTTTGGTGCGTCTGCACCTTGTGCCTTCTGGTCTGGTCTGGCAGAGGCGGGAGAAGGCTTCTGTGTGAAGGGTTGAAGAAGTGGTGAATCCGGGCTTGGTGGGGACAAGAGTTTGACCAAGGGTTGAGAGTTTCTATTCTGCAGATGCACGAAGGCTAATATACGTGGTGATCATGAAAGTGAGTTTGTAAGGATTCTCAAGGAGCACATGGGTGACCACCTCAATTCTCCTCCGTCCTTCCTGTCGATGTTTCCGCACAAGGTCGAGACTTGTGCTTTGCTTCTCCTCCCAGCCCTGAAACTCCTAGAGAGTTGCGCCCGCCGCCCTCCGTCCAAGCTGATTTCTTATGAAGATCATGCCCTCCAGACAAGATCCACGGCAGAGGTTTTCAAACCTTCAGTCACAGAGCCCACACTCCACTTGCGGCCCTCAAGCATCGTTGCGACAACATGCGGAAGCTGCATCATAACCCTGATTGATGAGTGCTGTTAATTGATCAAGTTAAGTTATCAATCATATGTCTATCCACCAGTGTTGTTTTCGAACCCATGCTTCGGGTCCAAACTTCACCATCATCATTGCTTTCTAGACTTTTTTGCATTCCTCTCCTGGTGTTGGTTGCAGCATGCACACCTGAAATCCACGCTCCAACTCCACATCTACATCATCTCCTTGCACTCACCTTCTTCACCAATGGACGCTGCTGCCCCGGATGCGGCCGACGCGGCCGGCATGGCGGAGAGCGCGGCGGAGAGCGCGCCGAGCCGCAAGCGACCGCACGAGGATGCGGATCCCCAGAGCTTTTGGAAAGCGCAGCTGGAGGCCGTCACTCTTGAGTTGTTTTGAGGCAGCTTGGGGAGGAGACCAGCTACAGCTACTGATACTGTCTCTGTGTGGAGTCGCACCATGGAATTCTCGGAGGTTCACAGACGGTCCCCCGCAATCCTTACCCCCGCGATCTCGCCGATCTCGCCGATCTCGGGAGCTTCAGGTCCCCCCAAAATGGCTGCATTTAGCACGGATCATGCAACAATCCGCTTCTTCAGTGAACCACCTCGGCCCAAGCGGAACATGTTTCAAGACACCAGTGGGTTGCCACAAATCTCCTGGACCAAGAAAGCAAGGGATCTTGTCCATTCAACACCCCTTGAATGCTAAAGAGCTCTTCATTGACCACCCCTCAGGTTTGCCCTGCCTGGTAGGAGTCTGGTGTGAGATCATTCGTTTTGACCTGTCATTCGTCATCTTGGAGCCCCATCCTGCCCACACGGCCCATCCTGCCGGACGCCGGACGCCAGGCGATCTACGCCCGGCGGAATCCCATGAAGGTGGACAGTATCCCCGACCTCTTGCAGAAGTACCGAGGCGAGCGAGGGGAGCGATGGGCTGGGCGAACAACCGAAGGTCACAGCGACAAAAGGATGAGTATGATGATTCAGGTTGTGATGAGTATGATGTTGGCACAGTTAGGGTGATGGCGAGATTGTGTTACCACATGGGGTGTGCTGACGTGGCAAGTCCATACAAAAAGGGGAGAGAATTGGGATGAATTTGCGAACCAGCCCAACATAGAGAATTGTTGAGGGTTGAGCCACGCAAGTTGGAGCTGGCAGCTGAGTCAGCCATCCTTGTGGAACCACTATCCTTCAGCTTGTTGCGAGTAAGAACGCCTTACATATTCTTCCATCGCATGGATCCAGATGAAGTGGTCAAACCCAACGGGCCCACCGATGTCCGGAGCTCGAAGGGTTAGCTAGTTCGCTTCCACCCCAGGTCGCTCGACTCCGGGTCGCATGCGTGGTCTGAACATTGCTTGGTTGGTGTTCTGAAGTGTTTGACCCATGGGAAGAGAGTGGTATGACCCATGGCAAGAGAGTGAAGGCAAGAGAGGTCGAACCCATGTTCTGAAGTGTTGGAAGATTCGCTTGACCCATGGCCAGTGGGAAGTTGTTCTCAATCGATGCGTCATGTCGCACTGCCAAGCGGCCTGAAATCCATGGATTGCATCCAGTTGAATAAAATGGCTGGCCACTTGCTTTTGCCTAAATAGGCCCTCAAAGCATCTCAAGGTACCATTTAAGAGATAGGTGCATGCTTGAAAGCAAACCTTGTAGGTAGTTATACATGTAATCACATATAGTTATTCGTGTGACGGTCTTCACGGTTCTGTGCAGCATGTCGCTGCATTCAAAAACATTTTCATGCATGGCAATCACAACTCATATCTTCTGCCATTTCGCGGCACGTACGGGCCTTCACGGCTTCAGCCTTTTCATACCGCGTACCTCAACGCAGGAAAGGAAGCTGTCCTCTACGCGAAGGCTCCTTTGTTGCGACGCAACAACAAGGGCGCCCCTACGGACCACGCCGGGACACCTTCGACATGGGACCATCCCCTTGTGGTGACGCTAGTCTTCCAGGGGTCCCTTGTGAGAAAGTACAAAGGTTACTAGAGTGTGATATATATATATATATTTTTTCACGTATATACCTTTTCCTTTTTGGTTGTGTTTTTTTGGGTAAGTCTTCTTTTGATCGATAGTGGGTCTAAGAACGTACAGTGCCATGTATTTATTGGACTCGTGACGTGCGGAAGAGCCAGATATGGAGAGTGCCTCTTTTTGGTTTGAAGAAGTCACATTCTCTTCGCAACAGGGTCAGCCAGCAGGGCACGAGACCATGAGTTCTGTTTGGCAATCTCCAGTCACCATTGGCCCCTCCATACCTGAAAAAAGGTCCGAAAAGGAATCAAAGGATGGAACCCTTTCCCGGTGAATACCACTTAAAGCACCGAAACGGAGTTGTGGAATCATCCCCAGCCGAATCATGATGTTTTCGACCATGCAACGTGACGTTTTCGAGTCGCTCACCACCAACCAGCGACCCGGCGACCAGCGTGGGCGACCAGCGTGGATTGTGGATTTGACATGCATCGATCTCCACAGATTCATAGCACTTTGGTGTAGATGACATTTACCATGATCTTTACTCGAGCTGTTGAGTTGGTTCCTTGATTAGAACCATCCGGTACTTTTCCGGTTCTTTCTCTGGTCCCTCTCCCAGCCTTTGACTCTTGGTTGGGGGTATTTCAGGTAGTGAACAAGTTCGGTCTGGGGTGCCTGGCAGAGAAACCTCTCTGATTGTTTCCAAAGTCGGACGTCAGACAAACCCACTCCCTCCCTATTGTTAGCCTCTAGGGATCCACATACCTTCTCGGGTTCGGTACGACTGGACCCGACACTGGCACCTACATGTCTCAGTGTCGAACACATCACCTTCGGTATGTGGATCCGAGTGTATTTGTGCACACCAGTTGAGTCCCAGCTGCGACACGCTTCGATTGGTGGGTTCGGACATTCGGGTGAACCCGATCTCAGTGTTTGTTTCGTGCATGGAAACGGCCACAGGCTTGGTGTTGCTTGTTTGGAGCCGTTTGAATGAGTTGGAGTTCCATGTCAGAAGGGATTCGGTTGGCCGAATCATAGGTTTATGAGTCCAACAACGTGTGATAATGCTTAGTGACTTAGTGAACACATTCTCCTCAGAACCCACCCCACACACCCAAGAGAACCACAAAGAAGTTCAATATACCACAACTTATAACAATATGGTTAAATCACTAATAACTATAGTTTTTTTGTAAGTAGGCAAGCATACAATACATGCAACACGTATAATATATGTATAAATTAATATAGTATTTAGTGAGGGTTTGACATCTCGAAAAGCCTGAAGCACATGGGGGCATGGACCATGTCATGGACCATGGCATTGCTCAGACCAGAGTGGGGCCAGAACAGACTAGGCACCATGTGGCCAGTCATCGAATCGAATCGATTTGGCCCCAAAGCGCCTGAGGTTTGTCACAAATACGATTGGAATCCCAAGAAGTTCCATATAGACCCGCAGGCCTGGCTAGAATACGACTTGATGCCTGGCGGTGAGAAATTGGGCAGACGAACAACAGAAGACTATTTTGGGTGGAGTTTGGGGCATTCCAAGGAGCCACCTTTTATCATTCGTTTCAGTGGACATCTCGTGTTTGTAGCTGGTCTGTACAAAAAGTCTTGCAAGCACGTGATTGGGAATGACACAATGACTCTTGACATCTATGTTTCTCTCAAGCATCCACACTTTCCAAAGACACATCAGGTTCGAGAGACACACTTCATCTGTGAAACTTGTTTGGAGTCTGCCCCTGTCCAGCTTTTGTTCCGCCCTCAGGACGGAGCATCATGGACATCAGCCTAGTGCAAGCCCAGGCCAGGGACCCCGTGACTGTCGCGTCGCGAGAGGACGAACAGCTGGTGGGAGGTCCGTGTTGTTCGCTTCCGAAACAGGTGTAACTGGCAATTGTTGGTCAGACGTAGCCGCTGCCACGAGGTTGGAAGAGGACTTCTTCAAAATCAAGAAGTCAATTGAGGAAGCTGATGTTTCTACACTCCACCATGTTCACTTGGGTGGACGGTGGACGGATGATGTGGAAAGCGGATTTCACTGGTCCGAAGACCAAACAGACCAAACAACCAAAAGGCTTCACTGAGTGTCCAGATGGTTCAGGCATTGTCACTTGCTCTTCCACAAAGAAGGTGACCACATGGACCTGGGACCTGTGTGTATCGAGTTCATCCATCGATCAAGCTCAGGGTGACATAGGTGGCTGACAGCCTCCTGGTTGGATGATATCCACCCAACATTTCTTTACAGGATCTGGAACTCAAGCATTCCTTCCAGCTAAGTGTGGCCCAAAAAATAGATCATAGTCCTCTATATGGTCTATACGTGCCTCAACATTTCTGGCAAATGGAAACGAGACTAATATCAGCAGCGTGTCCCTGTCTCTCTTTTTTGCCAGACATCCACAATTTTTGGATTGTTTTCGGTTCAGATGGCACCATCCCCATTTTGGACCATCTAAACTCACTCAAACCATCCTCACTGTTTTTTGTATTTCAGGCAATTTTCATTTATATATATATATATATATCACCATTTCATTCACAGAACCGGACACCTCAGACACCTTCATTCGGTCTGTCTCGTATCCTAACGCCGTTACTGTTTGAACAACAGCCCGCCAGGTGATGCGACCGCGGAGCCGTTCGAGGTGCAGGTGACCACGGTCTCAGGCACTTCGCGAAAGCGCAAGCGCTCGCGGTTTGAGCGAGCGAGCTCACCCGGTGCTGCACCTGCTGGCTGTCTCAGCTCAGCTCCGAAGCCTCTTCACCGTCCGAAGGGTCCGGTCCTGACGGTCTGGGAAGGAGATGTTGTTCGATCGATGTCTCTTGCAGGAGACCTCTCAGAATACCATCCATGCTGTAGGAATGGGGGTTTGGGACCCGAAAACAACATCCGTTCCAATTGCTTTGGGCCTGGATTCTTAGAGTAAACGCCCTCCCACCAAGGCTGCAAGTGGAAAAAAGAACGAGCCTGTTTTCAGGAAGGCTCCCTTTTTTTCCTATGAACATGGGTGCTGCCTTATTGTTTGAGTGCATGAAGTACGTACTTCTTCAGAGTCGACTTCCTTCCATCAATCTTCTCAGCTCAATCTGGCTTTTCACAGCTCAATCGGCCTCATGGAATCGGTTCTGGGAGGGTTTCCACCTGTGCTTCACACAGCTTCGGGCTTTGGTTCGTGTGGGTCGTCAGAGTCGGTGGGGCCTGATGGTGGCTGTTGGGTTCTGTGGCAGAACATGAACGTTTCCCTGAAGGGTTAGCCATGCTGGTGTTTTTCCGGGTTTTGAAGCACCAACATGAGCAACTTCTTGGCTCACAACCGTGACTTCACGCGGTTTTGGTGTTCTACTTATAGCGGGATGGGTGACTGAGGTAGCATGAGTGACTTAGCACCACGGCGGTCGGGCTAAGTAATGCGAGCACAGACTCAAGTGAAGCCCGCAGGTGCCAATTCCTGCAAGATCAATGGCCTGCTGCCCTCGATTTCTGTGACGCTTGGTCGGAGATGGTGCCAGCTAGCACGCCTGAAGGTGGTTGCAGAAACAGATACATCACTAGAGCATTGGCATAGGTGTATTGACAGTCATTCAATCTAGTTCAGCATGCACCAGCACAGCCACTTCCTGCAGGAAAGAAGTGTTGATCCAGTCCTGCGACGCTCTGAAAATGCGAGCCACTTAGCGGAAAGAGGATGCTTCCTTGAGATTTGAAGGCTATCAGGGATGGCAGACATTCACTTGCTGAATTGTGATCTGTGTCGCAGTTTTGGCTGGCTTTGGTAAGTAATTGTTAGCGCATAGGAGCTTGTCGGCAGAACACCGTGGCTTGCTGAACAGGTCTTGGCGAGCATGTAATTCATCTATCGTCATGTTTGGATAGAACCGCTTGAAACCGTTATAGACCATATTTGTGGGATTTTGTTGGCTAAATTCCACTTATTTAATTATGAGCCTGTGAAGTGAGAAGACCACGGTGCATATGACCATGAGAAGGTTTCAGCTTGCTTTGAGGCCTGGTGTTCCAAGCTCTGCTTGGGCACTGAGAAGCTTTCGATGGACCTCCAGCTGTCGCAAGCAGGTGTTTCTGCAGGTGCCGCTCCTGCAGAGCCTGGCATGCGCTGCAGTTTAAGAAAGACATACAGACTCTTGTTCCCAGACACTCCATGGGACTGCCATATTTGCCAACATTGGGGTGGTTTGGGGGGTCAATGTAGGTATATATGGCGTACATGGAGTGTCTGGGGTTGAATTCTCCACCTTAGGGTCATGGTCATTTCCCCCTTCATACGTTTTTTCCAGCCTATGGCATCAGATGTACTGCATCAGATCAACACGCAATTACTAGATAGTATGTAAAAAAAGATATGCACATACCGTTCTCAGTAGAGCACCTGCTAGACTCTAATCGATTTGCCGTACATAACAGTTCCAATCCTAGCTCCTGGTACCAGCTGGCATCACTCCTCCTGGCACCACGTCTCATGTCAGGTAGCTCGTTGACCTTGATCCAAGAGCCCGACGCGGAATTCGTGGAGTTCCAGCAGCGCTTCATGCCGGAACCCCTCGAGGCGGACCGCGGACGAGCCCGCAGACCGCGGACCGCGGAGGGTGAGTCGTGAGTTCGAGGAGCAGATGCAAAGTGGATAGCTTGATCGAAGTGGGACCTAGAGCTTGATATGTTGTTTGTTCCTCAGATTCGAGTCTGGGTTGGGGAGTGAAACAGCAGTTGTGATCACTTCAAGGATCATTCAAGCACCAGAAAAGTGCTCGATGTGATGAGTTTGGTATCCATTGGTGGTGAACAAGGAGAAGGTGTAACATAAACACACGTTTTTCTCACCATACATACAAGTCCAGATTTGGATGAATTCTGGTGGACAGTTACCGGCCCGACAGGCAGATAGTATTAGCCGGCAACTTCCCCGAAGTGCTGAAACATGAAAGTTCTGTTGGACGCTTGTTGCCACTTGGACAATCAGCCACTCTGACCACGTCCTTTCGGGTCGCTGAAGGGCCGGTTTTCAAATCTCCAAGATCGAGATGATGGAGTGTGGCTTCCCTTGCGTCTGTGTGGCACACAAATCCCACCCTCTCCTGCCCTATTCCTTCTGCCCCAACGCGTCGTGTCCCTCCGCGTCGTCTCCCCGATTGTGACGTGAAGGCAGTGCCTGAAGCGGTCCACGTGGTCTGGTGTGAAACCTGGGAGCGTGTCTTCGGCGGCCAGCGCGACACCGTGATGCTGGGCGCCTTCCGTTGCCCTCGGAAGGCTCGGGAGGCAGTGCTCGAAGAGGCCAGCGAGGAGTATCATCAAGCCATTGAGCGGCAGGTTGAGACTGGGGGATGAGGGAAATTGGAGGACCCAAGAAGAGTTTCTATCCTCATATCGGGATGGTGGGTATAAGTCGGTAGTACATAGTCATGTGCATTGGCACATGATGCCGAAACAGAAAGAACATTACTGTAGCTGTAGAAGAACATTGCTGTAGCTGTAGATTATTTTTAAAGGCAAATGCTTAAACAATCACTTGTAGATTGATTGCATTTTTGCCTACTCCAGCATGGACATGTGGTTTCCAACCTGGAGAAACACAGTGGAGAAACACAGGAGTTTCCGAGGGAGGGGACTTCCTAAGTATGGTAAGTTAAGTTCTTGTCAGTTGTTAGTCTCCCACTCCTGGGGCCTATTATTGTCCACTTCTATGTCAATCTCTTGGGAGGGGTCATTCATGTTGGGAAATTTTCAGGCCACTCAGCAGGAGGGGCGAACCAACACAGCACTTTAAGGTATTTGTTCTTTCGCAGATCACATGATTCTTGCTTTGCAAGTTGACACTGGGCAACTCAACTCGGACAGTTGGGTGCTTCTGGACATAGTGGTGAACTGACCAGAAGAACCCTTTGGTAGGCAATCAGTTCTCCAGCACCAAGCCGCCAATGTCCTCCATCCGGACTCGACGGCGGACAGAGATCCGAACGTCCGAGAATGTGCTTGTTTTTTTCGATGGTCAAGGATGTCAGTGTCGTGGAAAGACATGCACAGATGCCATATACACATACAGTATGTACAATGGACACACTGGGTGGGTTTCCCTATGCAAATACAGTCTGTGTGTGCGAAATAGAGAAACCCACCCAGCTGCACCTCGGGGGCTCCGATGAAAGACCCACGAACCCAGTGGGCCGAGAGGGACCACTATGATTCTAGGTCTATCATCATATGGCAATCAAACCAAGAAAAGAACAGACACGATTTCGCCCCTAAGGAACAACATGGGTGTGCTTTTGACGTTGAGTTCTATTTTAAATCCTCGATTCGTCTGAGGTGATGAATGCCGAGTTCAGAGGTCAAGGCAGTGGAGAAGAGTGCCTTCTTTCTTCGAGCACCTCAGCTGGTTGCGGCGGGGTTCCCGTGGGGCTCCAGATCTCCAGGTGGTGGGCTGTGGTGGACGGACATGGAATGGACACCCCTCAGGGCCTGGGCCAAGAGAGTCAGTCCTAAAGATATGTAAAGAGATGCAAAGAGGGGGGGCACACTTTAAATTGGGAACTCCTTTTAGATTGCAAGGCATTGAGGCTTCAATATCCTTTTCGTCGCTGGGGTGAGAACCCGTGATTTGATTTATTTCTTTGGTTGAGGTCCCCCTTGCTCCATTCTGAACTTGATCTAGAACCTAGAAATAGTTGCAACGCTTCCAGTATTTTGTGGTCATCTCTACGCTAGAAGTCAAAGGACTCTATTTTGCTCCGTGAAGTCAAGGCAGTTCCCTTGTAATAGGTACCCACAATCTAAAGACCATTCCTTTTACCCCTAAGAATCCGGGCCCGAACCAACACCTAGGGTTTGGTTGAGGGTCCGAACCCCTGCGAAGACTGGAGACAAACCAACCAACCCCCACCAGCCCCCGCCCCCAAAGGGCCCTATTCGGAGTCTTGGCAGATCGTCGACGGACCAACCAGCCCCACCAGCCCAGCCCCACTCTCTGTCTCCGTTTCGCCCCGCCCCGCCGACCTCCAACGACCACGGTAGCGAGGTGCCAAAAGCATGTGCTTGAGCCTGGCGGACTCGGAGCACCACAAGCGCTGGCGAGTGGAAAGCACGAACCTCATTGGAAGCTTGGTTCTTTTTGGCTCCAGAAGCCAGAAACGGAACTTGCCAAAGCAACAAGGATATGTGCTGAAGGATGGTCGTAGAGTCGTAGACCAACAACTAGGAGCACCGCATCGATCTGAACCGCTTGGCTCTGCAGTTCCGAGGATGACGCCCCTCATGGCTCGCGCCTCTCGTGGTCAGCTGTTGCAGGACCTCGGTGTTCGAACACACAGGCAGCTGGACATCCACCATTTTTCCTATTGGTTCAATGGAAGTAAAACATCTACTTGTACAAATGAATGATGTTCAATTGCCATGTTTGATGCCCAGAGGGACCTTGTGCAGCAGGTTTCACCATGCGAGGCTGCGAGGCCCCAAAAAAGCCGTCGAAACAGAGTCGCTGCGTTAACCTGGAGTCCTGTGCCCGGGAGGATGTTGAACCGAGACACGCTGCAGGGACTTGGTTTCTTGACCTTTCTTTATCCCGAGATGGGGTCCATGTTCCCTTTTCCAGGCTTTCGTCCCGGAACCAAAACGGAGGTTCAACCCCCGTTGTGGGATGTTCTGGATCGGTTTTCGTTGAACAAGTTTGATACAGTGATTGATTTTGGTTGAACCTTTGTGAATACATTGAATACATAAGCCACTATGGCCACAAAGGTGGAGCCTTGAAACCCATCTAGGTCGGTGGGAGACGGATATTTCGCAGATCTCCAAATGAAGGAACCCACCAGTTCTCCATATGTTCTGCACCATGCAGTTCTTATGGCACTTGCGTCGCTCCAGCCGAGCCGAACCACAGGTGCTCCAGCTGAACCGCTCTTCCTTTGGCCGAGATCCGGGCCGTCACGATCGGCGGTCACGAGCGGGAGAAGATCAGGAAACTGCAGCGTTTGCAAGCACCAAGTCCAGCCTTCGATCGGATTCAATGGCAACGCCCAGAATTTGGAATTATTCCAATGTACATCTGCAAAAGCATGGATCTTGCAGAAGGCTGGGGAGTGAACTTCAGGGGACAGGTTTGGTGGAGAACATATAATAACATAATTTGGCGATCAAGCCGCGCCGCCTGACGTGAACATGGATGCACCTGGGTGAAGCCTGCCAGGTACGAGAAGGACGGCACCAGATAGAGGTCACAGGACCAGCACGTCCGTGAGTGGCGACGCTCTGAGAAATCACCGGAACGTGAAGGACGAAGAGGACGAAGCGTACCGTCGAAAAGGGGGACCGGTGCTGCGGGGTCCTGCGGGAGCCAACGAACTCTTGGATTCAGTCGTTTTCAGGGGGTCCTGCGAGGCAGGGTGACGGGTGCCGGCAGACTAGAGCTGGAGCCCCAATAGAAGTCTCCTCTCAACCAATCAGCTTTGTGGTTACTGCGGATCTCCTGGATGAGAATCTGCAATCCATCGCCTCCTTTTTCCACCAACGCCCCTTTTCAGCACAGCACTTGTCAGGATGTTCCAAAATGAGACTTCTTAAGGTCCAGACGGCGCCCGACCGACCTCCAGACCTCCGCGGCGCCGTGCACCCGGCGCTGCGCGTCAGGCGTTGGAGGCGAAGAAGCGAAGGATCGATGCGGCCAGCGAAGACGTGCCTCTTGGGCTCCCAGCGACACGTTGGACCCGGTGCCCGGCGTGGATATGGTTGGAACGGGGGGCGTTTTGGGTTTAGGGCGGATGGATCAGGTGACCTTTGAAGGATGGGGTTCCGAAGTGGGTGAAGCGGTGAATCTCCCGAAACTTGTTGGTGTTTTCTCCCGGTTCCAGGGAGCCGCCCATCCGGTGTTGACCGGTGTTGACCCTTTGGGGGTGTTTCGCCGACGGGATGGCAGACAGGGCACGAGTTGGATGCCATGTGGTGATTTGGGTGTGAGTGTCCGGTGTGACCGGGGTGGTTTGAGGTGGTAGGGGTTGGGACCTAGCTGTTTGACCATTTCCGTGGAGTGGGACCTAACTTGGTCTGAGTCCAACTGTGGAAGTGGGGACGAAGAGGCTGGACCATGACAGGACAAAGATGAAGCAAGCTCTCTCAGCCGTTTTTGGAAGACACGATAAGCTGGGGGCTTGGACGGAGTAGACACTAGAGTTCAAATAATCCAACTCCCAACAAGTGAGAACCGAATGATCCATCAAAATCAACATAGTAAAATTACTGCAATTCAACTATAGACTATATTCAACTCAAAATTACGAATCCGCTTCCATTTTTCAAAACATGGACTGCCTCCACCACCAAAGGGCGATTGAACTTCATTGAACTTCGTGAAAACTGTGCCCCGTGTTCCAAGGGCCAACCTAAAAGCCATGTTCGAGGATCTCAAGGCCTCCTGTGCGTGGCGCACGCTTTTGTTGAAGCGACTGCAACATGCCATAGCACCCGCTGTCTTGTGGATCATGTTTTTGGAATGTTTTGGAGTCCTTTGCAGGTGTGCTTAAAGAGGAACTCTTGTTGCTAGTTCATAGACATCTTTTGATAGGCCACTGGCCGGAAAATCTGAAGCCAGGAAGGTGGCTTTTCATTAGTGCCACATTATTATATAATTTTGATCAGTACTGGTATATAACTACCACCTTTTGTGCATCATTTGCGGGTGCAATTTTGACGGAATCTTTTTCTAGGTCCTAGCTTTTTTTGGTGGCTGCTTCAAAGACAGTTTTGTTTCCAAAAGCGGCCTTGGCTGTTGGCTTTTGGCCAACTTTTGGTGGCTTGACTAGCTGGCATCTTTGGCTTAGGTGCTAGGTGGCTTCACGGGATCTTTTTTTACATAGCCTAGAAAACCACGAAACCGAAGCCAAGCGTCATATGGCCCAAAACCTTGAAACACCTTGAAGAAACCTTGGTTACACATAAGACCTGATCAATTTTCTGATTTTCAAGCCAAAGGCAAACAGATTGGATTGGATCTTTTGTTCATACAATACAATTTTATTTTGATCTCGGTGGTATGCACGCTTTCCTGCAAGGCAAAGGCAAACTGATTCGATTAACTGTTCTTTTATTGAGATAAAGAACGCATTTATCTTTGGTTAAGATTTGCACCGTTTTAGTTTATGCAAAGCTATTTTCTTGATAACCCTATATATAACCTCTGGGAAGGTGGTGCAGAATTCCAAATTCCTGTCAAATCAGCTCCCCCCAATTTGGTCGACCCAGCGAGACGTTTCGCTGGCTTGCTGCGGTTCGCTAGTGAGCTAAGGGGCTGGGCATATCCATATTCCCCAACAGGGCGCCGGCGACGGAGCTACTGGGAGTTCCCCCAACCCCCAACGCTCGAATGATGGTCCTATGGTGTCGGCCATGTCAACATCAACGGCAGGGCTGCGAGTCAGTTGGAGGAAAGCCTGGGGAGAGAACGTCTCGCACCATTTGCCACAAATGGTCATGGGCCAGTTACTTCCATGTTTACTTGGATACTTTGTCCTGAGTTGTGTTGTTTGGTTAGTTGACGAAAGTACCATGTTATTGTGACGTCCGTCGTGCTGTTCTTGAACGTGTTCCACTGACCAGCTCGCGCGCGCGCGCAGGCGCAGCACGCAGCTGAGCGCCCTGCTTTTGAGCCACTTGCCCTGCAGCGCCTGGCACCGGACTCCCCAAATTATCCCGAGCTCCCAAGGCTGACTGGATCAGGTTGCTGCAACTGTTGCATGCGCGCTGCTGAAGCTAGTTGGTGAAAGAAATCACCGATTTCTTAACAGAAGTAATGGTCGTTTTTTGGTGCAAACCTGCGCAAGATGTGACATGCACGGCAGTGTTTCTGGAACTGATGGGTAGAGGTACAAGATTGATCAAGATGATACAAGTACTTCATTCCTTGAGTATCAATGCTCCGTTTTTTCGGAAGTGCTTTCGTGTGCAAGCGAGCATTGGCAGATGTCTTCCACCAAGCACGTTCGACCACATTGTAACTGTGAACATAACGTTGTCGACCTTGTAACGTGGCCAAGGGACCCTTGGCCTTTGTTATGCACCTGATAAAACATAAGACGTTCCAGAAGAGTCATGAAAACAAGCCTAACGCGAGCTGATCCCAAATCACATGTGCATCAATAATTACATCCACTATTGCTTCGACCATCTCCAGTTTACGGAACCAGAAGCTTTCCCACCATGAAATGTTGCTCTTTTGATCTACCCCATCAACTGATCTTTTTTGATCCCTTCATCCTCCATCTGCGTCCACCCAGCCATACACTCCAACAACTCACCAGCGGAGTTGTCGACAAAGGTGACAAAGCTTTCCGGTTGACATTACCCAGACACGCCCTGCCTGGGATTGGCAATAAAATTGCTTACGTTGGGGTGGTTGGTTTAACGGGTACATGGATGTAGCCAGTCCCAGACAGGTTGTGTTTGGTTGTCGACGTCTGCATCTATCCACCCAAACACCCACTCCGGACCGGGGCCGTCCCGCTGTCCCGCTTCGCCTGCCGCCGCCCGAGGCAAGAACTGGCCGAGCTGAAAGAGCAAAACCGCCAAGTGCAGGTGCTGCACCGGCAACGGTGTTTTACCAGGGTTTGGGGCACATCTTTTTTGCCACAAACAACATCTCCCAGCACCCGTTCTGTTCCTTGATCGGGGCCCCACAGATAATGGCTCCCTGGCCCCCGGCACCTTGGGGATTTTCTCCGTTCATGATGGGCTTTTTTGGGGCAAATTCGGGTGGGGGTTTGGAGAGTCCAAGAATGCACCCTTCTTGAGGAGGGTCAGTGGGGATTTTGCGGATGAAGGTTGCCCCTGGTTCCAACGCGGCCATCGTGGAAAGAGCCGCCACGTTGCACTGCACCAGGTGCAAAACCAGCAAAGGCACATTTGTTGCTTGACATCTCCACTTGCCCTTTGTTGGGGGGATTGAATGGAAAGAACATGAAAGAACTTCTTGGAAGTTGGACTTTCAAACACCGATACCGGCCGAAAGTCTTCTGCTTTTCAAGTCGCGTGTCGAGGTTTTTGCGGCACTTCAGAGGTCTTTTTGGCTTTTTGGACCGGTCAGAGGTTCAAAAAGGAATTTTTCACCAGCACCACCCAGCCTCCCTGACCATGGTATTTTCCATCGATAAAAACAACCCGAACTGGGTGGTGCTGGAAAATACGGATCCCATCTAACGTACGTACTTACTCTTCACATATCCCATGAAGCCCAAAACAGAGACCTCGAACACGCCACCCACGCCACCTGCCACCTGCCACGATGAATTGGGTGAGTGATACGGCGGCACCAGTGGCGCCGTTGGTTGGAGAGTGATTGGTTTTCAACGACCGGTTCTGAGGTTGGTGTGGCGAGACCGGTTCGGAGGAAGGGTGAGTGCCTGTCCATGGTCCCAAGTGGTGTCCGGGGCCCGTTCGAAGTGGATGTGAGGATCCAGTGGTACCAGCGAACTCCAGTGGTACCATATACCAAATACGAGCTTCTTACTTGAGGATCCAAGGTCGATCCTCCGTGAGGTTTCAGTGACATGAACCGGGACCTGAGAAAAAAGGAAGTCACATAACCAGGTATGCTTCAGCTTTCAACTGGGTGTATTAGAACAGGGAGACCTCACAGCTCGAGCTGGACCACCTGAAAGAAGGAACCGAGACATACGTACCTGGACCTTCAAGGGGTGTCCTGTCTGGAGGTTCCTTAGTGGTGGGCTGGGGCTTCCAGCCAGGTGACCCCTTTGAAGGTGCTGGTAGACACAAAACCCTCGTGGGCAAACCTTTCTCATTCTCTGCGCCGTCTTTTTTCTGATTCTCTCGACACACCCACCTTATTCCAGTTGGAACACGCACTTCCTATATCTCTCTCTCTCTCTCACACTTGAACGTCTCATGTCACTCACCCCAAGAAAGACGGACAACGCCCTCCACATGCCTAGTCTGGTACGCTGCGTAGCTCATCCGTCCGCTGTGCTCCGCGGTGCTCCGCTGCCTTCGAGGCAGCGGCCTCCGCGAAGTGGGACGCCGCGCGGAAGGCGCAGGTCTCGCGCAGAGCGCCTGGAGACGTGGGGCAGGGCAGTTGGTGGGAGGCTTTTGGGAGATGTTCGGGGGCACCAGCACAAGGAGCTGGTTCCCTTTTTTTCAGGGTTGCCAGGTAAGCACTCAGACAGTTGTTTGGGTGGATGTTTTTTTAAGGTTGTTTGTTTCTACTTTGTGTGTGTGTCATTTTCAAGATGTTTCAAGTTTTGTTGGTTTGAAGTTTGGAGGGCGAAATCGACTCCCTGGGGCTTTTGAAACCGATCGTTCTGGCTGTGGGATTTCAAGGTGAGTGAACAAGGTTTTCAAGTCACGTCATGTGCGGCTGCCAAATCACCAACCAACCAATCTGGCTATGCGGCTATGGGTCATGGCATCTAAAACACACCAAACCATGGTAGGTTGACATCCCGAACCAAAGAGGAATCTGTTCATCTTCGGGTCCTCCGGGTGCCATGACACCACCTCTATCTCACCCTGGATCCGAAAGCAAGGCTCCGAGGTTTGACACGAAACGGAGCAGGACGGATTGGACTGGAGGGTGCTGGAATCATCCCAACGGGCACGACCCCCCTCCACGCCCTTTTGGATGGGGATCTAGGTAAACAAGGATTTAATATTTGTATAAAAATATACGTTAAAACTATCAGACCCATCAAAGAAAGCAAAGGGCAGTCGTTTGAGGTTTGGAATGTGTGTGCCACCTACCTCAGTTTTCAGGTCCAAATAGGCTTCACCAGTTACACCCAAAACTGAATGCTTCTCTTCCTCCATCATGCAGCTCTGATCTTCTCTTCCGTGGTAGAATCACCACTGCCCGAGGCTCCGCCGAGCGGAGGAACAAGGGGAGCAACTGGCGGAGGCCGGCACGAGCGCAGAACGAGCGGAGGAAAACGAGCGCAGAACGAGTGAAGGGGGGCTGGAGACGCCTTGCGGGGGCGGGGGCTCGATGCGTGTGTTCTTGTCTTTTCTTGAAAAAACATTGGGGGCACTGTGTGGATTTTGCACCAGGAATTTTCTTCAAGTGGTGATTGGAAGGACAATACCATCATGAGGGGTGTCAAACAGAACCACCCGAACATTTTGGTGCTGGTGGAAGGTTTTTGTTTTTGGGATTGTGAGGGGGGCCAGGCACTTTGTGGAGGCACCGACTCTGTGGGTCGGAGCCGTCATGCTTTGATTGCACTTCCATACATGGTCTGAGGGGCAGTGGGCCTGTAGACCCCTGTCAGGGTGCATATTGGGTCTATTCCAATCCCAGAAGCTGTATGAAACTGTAACAAGGTCCTCACTCAACGCAACATCGTCATCCACTGTTAGCAGTAAGTTTACCCTGTCTTTTTTTGGCTATCGCAAGTATTTAGAGGCCAACATTGTCCTCGTTGTCATCATGTATGATCATGCTTTGCGCGTGTGTTGGACAATGGTCAGGGTTCTTAGGGTTGATGTTAGACCCCACTACTGGGATGACATCCCGTAGTTTGAACAATTTTTTTCTTAAGGGTGTTGGAATCCTATTGGTTCAAATGGCTACTGTTGGTCAGGTTTTTAGCTCTATTTTTCAGCTTCTACTTGGGCCGATTTCTTTCACCCACTGAGCTCCATCGTGTTCGTTGAAACAACACCCACCAGACTCTCTCAATGTCGGCTGGCCGACACTTGTGCAGTCACCAACACCTATAGGCATACTTACCTCTCAGCTATCATCAGTGCACGATGTATCAATATCAAAGCACTGCTATCCCTCGAAGCACTGCATATCCCTGCTGTAGGGCCCGATCAACACCGCTGCAACCCGCGCCGCGCCGAGCTCGGTCCGAGCAGCCAGGAGTTCTTGGTCCGACAGCGGCAGTTGGCCTGGGACGCCCAGAACGTCGGGCGGAAAGGTTCGCCGATTTTGGGGACTGGTCGACGAAGACGAACGACACGCATCTCCGAAGCATGTCAATTCTATTTTTGGGGGGATCCATCACTCTCCCGTTTGGGCTCCAAGTCGCACCGTCTCGTTTCGGTTCGGCGGGACCGGGGCCCGGGTGCCAGGGTCGGGTCCAGTCCTACCAAACCTGAGGAGGCACGACGGGAGCCCAAACGGGTCGGTCGACGCTCCTCGCCTCGACGCCTTGCCGCAGGAGCAGCAGAATCTACGGCTGCGGAAAGCCCTCAGCGCGCTGAAGACGCGGCTCTTCGGAGGGGGTGCCCGGATGGGTCGAGGGAGGTACGAGGGTTGTACTGGAATCTGAACATCAAAACACCAGGTGAATGTGAATCTGAACTGGCAGCTGGGCGTCAAAACATGTCAAAAGCAATCCCATTAAAGGATATTAAAAGCAGGGCAGCTTGACCTCCCTGGTCTATTCGAAGAATTCGCGTGAAGATCAGTGGATAAGCAAGACTGGAACTTTTGAATGGCGTTTGCAGCCAACTTCAAGTTCAACTTGAAACATTGGCTGCTGCCAAGGGCTTGACTTGCGCTTGAGACAACAGGATAGCTGGGCTGAACTTGCTGCAACTGGAGTCCCTGGAGCTTAAGAGTTGCGCATACAACTCGGACGTTGCGGCCTCGGATGGCGGTCTCATTTGCTTCGCTTTTGCACCGAGTTCTGGATGCCAAAGACAACTTCCTGAAGGTCGACAGGTGGTTTAGATGACACGTATATTTCTGCCGGAAATCAGATCAGGATCCAACACGGCGCAGCGGAAGTCCAACACGGCGAAGCTTCGCTCTCGCGTTCAGCCATGTCCGTTCTCGTGTTCAGCTCTCCTGGGCCATGGAGGGCATGGCGGTTGTTTGAAGATGCAAAGGTCCGAGGTGTTGAGCCCACACCCGGCTGTGCTGCCACCGGTTCAGAGTCGTAGCTCGAACTTGGAATTTCAGTTTTTTGGCAGAAGCCAACTGTAGTAAAAGGACTTAAGTGACCAAATAAGTCATAGCTCTTCACACATATGTTTGTACCCCAAACAGCCGAAGGCGTAGGCTTTTCTCCGCCAGCGATGCACCACCGACTTCACTCCTCCCGGTGGTGCCGTTCGTCCGTTCGTCTCACGCGACGTGACCCAGGCTGGAAGCAGACCAAGCGGCGCCTGGTGACGAGGCGGCCGGCGTGAAGGGTTTTGGGGTCGGAGAGCAATGGCCGGATCGGCCGGCTCCCGATTTGGGACCGGAGAAGGTGCATGGAATGCCTGTGGCATGCCGAAGTTGGAAGGATCTTTGGGGGAAGACAGTGTCAGAGTGGCAGGGGCTGGCGGAATCTAACAGAAAGGGATATTTGCCATCTTGGGATCCAAGGTTGTGTTTCTTCAACAGTACGATTTCGCAAAACCAGCGCCTCAGTAGCCCCTGGAAGCTGAAGTTGGTTTGAAGCTGCAGCAGTTGGGGAATTTTTGAGGCTACGATGGGACCCTGGTGGCCCCACCAACACACCTAGAGGGGTTGTAGGACTTTTGCCATGAAACAGACAGAGAGCCACTTGCCACTCACCTGCGAGTGGCCATCGAGCCACAACTACACTGCTTGAAATCATATATGGAAGTGGAGTGTCCCACCAACCACCTGTAGACATAGAGGAAAATGGTCAAGACGTAGTGGCCACTTTCCATTTCCATGATTTCAGGGATGGTGTCCCGGGGTGTGAGAGGTGTTCCTGTTGTTCTTTTTTTCGTGAAGCTTCGACGACACAGCGACTGCTAGCTGTGATGTATGTGGAGGTTTGATCCATTGGTTGCCCTGGACAATTGGCTGAACATACCCTTCAACCAACTGATACTCTGCCAAAGAAACACTATACAGCACCTTTTACTATTGGTTTTGGTTCATGGTGGGGATACCCCCAAGTGAACAATCAAGTTCTGTCAATGATACCTGGCATCGACCCCTCTATTACTTCCACTGTCGGACATCATTGATTCAACACTTCAAAGAAGATGCGTTGCCTTGCCGTACTTGGCCGTCAGTTCTGGGTGAGACACACTGAAGGGGCAAGGAATTCGCTTTTCCTCGCTTTAGGCTTTTGTTTTCTCTTGGCGGATCTTGCGCATGTGTATAGGGAAACCCTCCTGGGCAATTTCAGACACATTGGCTACTTGGCTCATCCCTAAAAGATTGATGAAGAATGTCGATGCCTGATTTGCTGGGCCGCATGGAAAATGGTTCTTTCCATCTCTTTCCACTTCTTTTGTTTGCTTCTTTTTCCTGATCTGGCCAAGAGAGACGTGGTGCTCCGCTGCCTTTTTTAAATCACCAACCATCTCTTCAACTACGGAGTTCTTCACCATACCATTCTTTCCAACCATCTCCTGGCCTTTCTCCGCATCCATCGCTTCAAACTTGCGATCAGGTGTGAGCCTTCCGAGGCCCCTGTGACCCCTGTCGGTTCGTGGGGGTTGGGCTGGACACCCCCTCAAGGACACTCCCTGAAGTCAGAGGACTGCGTGGATGGCATGGAAACAGGTGGTGGGTTTCCACGTAACCATGATATCCGGGATCCCCGTTAAAAGTTCCCTTACAGAATGGATGCGCGTGCGATTGCTACAGCAGCTACTTTTAACCCGGATGATCCGGGTGTGTAGCGATATTGTTTGTTCTTGTTCTCTCTGTCTCTCTCGAGATATACTTCCCACCTTTCACTGCGAAACGACCTCCTCACATTCTTTTGGCACCGTGACATGGACCCGGAAGAAACCTGCAGATCGAGCCACGTTTGGTCAAAGTGACAGGTATTCGATCAAGAAAGCTGCCTGCTCCGCGTGAAGCGCGTTCCTACTGAAGTCGTACGAACAAACTGTTGGTCCTTTGCAAGGGACCCGGATGAAGCACCTGCATTGTCATTGCGATCACCTGATTCTTTGTTGGGGGTTCTGTATCAGACGCCAGCAGAGAGCTGAGGTGATGACATCGATATCAGATCATTTATTTTTATTTATGCATGTATACTGTATATACCTAGAGCCCATTGTACCCTTGTTTTGCTAAAGACAATCGTCTGGCTGGTTCATCATCCAAAATAGAGGTCCCTCAGGTTCAAAGTGTATGTTATTTAATACCAGGAGTGACAAAGGGATGCCGAACTTGGAGGATTCGGGTGCCCGTGATGAAACCTGACCGGATGGGACTAAAAGCAAGCCACCCTGGCCTCCATGTGACTCCTGGTACGACACAAATATCTTTTGGGTGGTGTTCCAGAGCCACTGGAAAAGGCACTGGAAAGGCACTGGGAACACACACGGCACATGGCAACAGTAAGAACAGTAGCTACTTCACCCTTTCATAATCCTGGTTTTACTTGGGACGATTTTTTTTCCATGTTTTCCCTATGGGTCCGCCTATGGGTGAATCCCCTTCTGTTTTTTTTTTTCCGGTTCCTTAAGCAAATCCAAGTAATCCGGACTCAAATGTTCCTTTTTCGATAGAATCCAGGAGCGGCCCAGCATCAGTCCCGCTTCCCTTTGGTTGGAGTGTGGAAGCTTAGACGTTTACCTCCACCCGACGAAGCAACCGTTCTGCCGGCTTGACGGTTGCTGTGCGCGGGAGACAGCTGGAGACTTGCTGCGCTGGAGAGAACCATCTGGTCACAAAGGAAGAAACCATTCTGATTTGACGGAACCGTGTTTTAGGGCTTGGTGGTCTCCGATCAGTTGGTAACTCTTCACGTTTTGTTCAGGTGTTCTTCCAAACAAGCTTCAAGCATCAAGCAACAGATTTGTTCAGGCATGGGACATGGAGACATGGGCGTGGACAAAAGCAGATGTCGACACAAGGATCACGACCCGATCGAAGATCCACCCAAACACAGTGGAACTCTCCAAACACAGTGACTGAGAGGTGAAACACCATGCTTCACTCAGTCCTGGTCTCGGACGGAACTGTCTCCTCTCATCGTTTTGAACCACTGAAGGCCCAAGTGATCAACTCTCTGGGGTACTACCTAGTTCAGGGAGGGCACTACCGAGGGCTATGATCAAAGAGCAAGTTGCCGCCGCCGCCCATGTTTATCACCAAGCCACAAAGGGAGTCATAGATGGCCTTTTACAGTATATACATTGATTGGTTGAATAAAAGAGGGGACCCCCCGGTCGTGTACAACCAAGTTCGGTCGATGGGGCCTGGCACCGAATGTCCTCCATTCGTCCCCTGGTCGGATATCACTGAAGGGACTAAGATGTGAGACCTGAGGTTCCCCGAGACGCTTCAGGAGTTTCGTGTTGACATCGATCTCCTGTAGACCACCCTGGAGACTGCAGGACGCCGCAGGATTTGACCCTTCGACCGATGGGAAAGTGAACAGGGTCGACACCTTAAGAATAACTTGATGCCGGCAGTGCCCTAGTCTGTCCGGGGTATGACCCAAAACAATGGCAGCCCACCATTGTCTTGGGTCTTTTGAGGGACTAGTGCTGCTCAAGACAACCAACTCGCCAGCACTCGACCTGCATGCGCCAGCATGAACCAGCCGGAAGTGGGAGTGGAGGTGATTGAAAGGGTATTGCCGTTTCTTCCTCTGAAATTACCCGTGAAATTAAGATAAATATGATAAATCAAATGTCTACCTGGCCTCTGAAATTCTTAGGCATGGCATGAAGGGTAGCTTCCACTTCATCCTCTGCCCTTCATGCCTAAGGTCAGCCGCGCTTGAGAGCCGGGGGCCCCAATGCTTCACCTCTACTGCGGGCGACACCGAGTGAGACGGCAGGGGTCATCTGGTGCAAGCAAGGGAGGCAGAAGGTGGGAAGTAGCTAGCTGGGCAGATTCTACCGGGACCATCCAAGGGGTGTCCAATAGACTACCCTACACTACCTAGAGATCTCCATTGGACACCCTTTGGATGGTCTAGGTATAGGTGCCACATCATCGATACCGCGCGGGTCAAAGACCCAACAAAACCCCCCGCCAGCAGGTGTTGGTGCGGTTACCCTATCAACAGCATGATGTACCCTGCCTGAGGTGGACAAAGATTTTTTGGCCAGCTGTTCATTTAAAGGGAAATACCCTTCAAGTTCCTTCTGCGACAGATGACTGGGAGGTTTTGATTACTGGGAGGTTCTTCTGCAACAGCCTAGCAAGTCAACACTTCTCCACAGTCAGAGAACCCTTCACCGAGCTGATTGACCATCAATACAGCTCGGGCTCCCAGGTAAGCAGCACCCTTCAACCAGCCAAAGCTCTTGGCCCCCAAACAGGCTACATCAGGCCATGAGGTCGTCTAAAGCTTTTGCAGCATGCTTGGACCTGGAACCTGCACATTCCTGTGCAACCTTCTTTAATGAGAACAAGTGCGCTGGTCAGAGGGGAGCCAGTCACCAGTGCAACACATTAAAACAAATAAAACATAAACACATTACAATAAATTCTTCCCAAAGTGATGTTTCATCAAAAAATCGGGCCCCTTGCTTGCCTCAAATGAACCTGTTGTTTCATCCCATTCACCTGGATGGCAGCCATGCAAGGCACTGAAAAGCATTCAGCTTTCATCACTGATGAGTTTGTCTTAGTAAAAAAGCACAAACATGGCCATTTCTGTTATACAGTACTATTTACCATCATTGTTAGTATTGTATGGCCATTTTTTAAACCCAACCAAACAAACATTGCCATGTCTACTATATATACTATTTAACCATGAATTACTATTCTATCAGTGAGTGAGTGAGTTCCTTTTGCCAAAAAGCCCACTCGTGCACATGCGCCAAAAAGCCCACTCGCGCGTTGCCCGCAGGCTCGAACCGCAGCGCCGCCGGTCTAACGCCACTGGACTGAGCTTGCGGGGAGGGGACGTGATGCACCCAAAGACCGCAGGGCATCCAATGTGAGGTGAAGTGGAAACAAAACACCAGACACAAACATACTCTTTGTTTGTTTAAAGGGTGGGAAGTCCTCCTCTGGAGGAGAGGTCATGGCACTGTTTGCGGGTCATGGCGCTGGGGGAATCCGGGTTGACCATCCGGGTTGACGGGTCAAGCAGCTGGTGCAGGGCGGCGAATGGAGCTCCAGGTGCCACGAGATATATCCTAGATGCTCCTTGTATGGAATATTTGCATACATTGGGGTGGTTTCAGGGGTCAATGTAGGCATATATTCCATACATGGAGCGTATGGGTATTATACCAGGTGCAAGTGAGTAAGGCTAGACATCTTGGTCCGGCTAGTCATCTGAACCTAGCATAGGTGTTCTTGTTGAGATATGGCAAAGAAGTAAGAAGATAACGACACTTCTGGTGTAGGGTGCCAACCAGGTCTGACTGTCTAACCCATTCGGAACTTGAACGGCCGGGCGCCCAGGGCATCGAGCTGGGGTTGAGCAGTGTTCGTTTTTTTTGTACAAGGGATTGACCCTTCCTGAAAGAATTCATGGTTACGCGGAGTGAGTTACACCACCTGTGAACGAATTCTTCGTGAAACATCGGTCATCCCGTTTGGGATTTGCGCGATGCCATCCACGTGGGAGTGATCATATCCGCCGAACACATCGGAAGTGGATGGCATGGAGCCGATGTCGGATGACTCTACGTTCCGGTTAAACGAAACAGGGCGGGCCAACTCCCAACAATGTGATGTGTGAGTGTAGCAGAGTGTATGTGATTGTTAGGGGCTTGCCATGGTTTCAGATATATCTTTATATGCAACCGGATATCTTGGGATATCTGGGGGATATTTACAAACTACTGTACCACCAACCTAAACCAAAGATCACCAATATTTGCATGGCTGGCTTGGTGTTTTGGGATATTTGCATGTTCAATATCATTCCAAACTACCACCAAGCAGGTCTGGCCCCATTTTTTAAAGAGCAACTTAGTCATGTGTCTTGTCTTGGCATATCTCAGTCTTGCCTTGGCATATGTGTTGTTGGGTTGTTTGGAAGTCCAGGTGCCTATGCCAGTGGTTCAGCAACCGTGGCTACAGGAGTTTGGAGTATCCACCCCTTGTTCTCCACTCTACCCGCCTGAAGACTAACATGGAACCTGAAAACCCCGGGTTTGTAGAGGAATACAATCTTCCAGGCTGCCAGACAGTCAGAGTCCATGTGAGTTTTCGGGAGGGTGTTTGGAGAGTTGATCGATGGCGAATTACAACAGGCAATAGCGGTTCAACACATCTACCTTACATGGTAAAGCCGTCTACCAGCAACCCGAAGCAAGGCAGCAAGGCACCATTCTGCAGATGCGCAGCCTTTCAAAAGGTTTCAATGCCCAAAGCCAGGTCATTGCGGAACCACTGTCAACCCACTTTACTCTTGCAGATCCACCACTTCCATTGGCCCCCAACCACCAAGGCCCAGCCGCCCAGAAGAAAACGCATCACTTCGCTATGGCTCCTTTCCCCCGCCAAAAGGCCAAACAAAAAACCGTCCTCTTCGGACCACTCAATGTCTTTCCTCCCATGCCGAATGGTCCTTCGTCCTTCGTCCGACCGTCGCCCCCCCGGTGTTCATCGCACGACTTCGTGCGAGTCGCGCGCCGCGCGCCCCGCGCCACCCGTGGCACCCGCGGAGGCCTCGGCCTGGCACGCCGAAGAGCCCCGCCGCGTCGCTCGGCGCATCGCTCAGCCCGGCGTCGCGGGGCTCGCGGAGCCCCATGCGCGCCAGTCGCGGGAACACCCCGCGCAGTGGGTCGAGGCTGGAGGGAGGGCGCAGCTTTGGTGCGGGGTGGGTGGGGTGGGGTGGGTCGGGGGGTTTTGGTGTTTTTGGTGTGTTTGGTGGATGGAAAAGATAGGACATACAGGATGGACTTGTGATGTAGCCAAGATATTTAGGAGAAGTGTGTTGAGCCTTGCTGCCAGTCACCCCCCAAATTTTGTGGCAACATAGGACGAAACTTTGATGGCTTCCTCCGGCCTGGGCTGGAGGCGTCCAGATGATGAGCATGCGCAGATGCGCCGGGAACCCAGCACGATCGTGCATGTGTGAATGCCACACCAGGTGGTGCCAGTCCGAACCCGAAACAAATGGATGTCTGCCTAAATCAAAGCTTCCTATGTAAAGGATCTCAAGTGCCATTTTGGAAGAATCATTTCTTTCTGGTTGTTTGGGTATCCAGGAAGTAGTGAACATCCCTTTCAGACATTCGATGTCCTTTGTTGCTTGGGGAACATTCAGACAGGTGAACTCTATGACCACCGCCGTGAACATTCAGTGTGAACTGGTATGCTTAGATCATCCAGGCATCATTTGGCACTTTGTTGGAATGAAAGAAACCTAGAGAGGTTGAACAGCCCGTCTTGTCGCCCATCCCATATGTACCACAGACCAGGTTCCGAACGCTCAGGTCTCTCAACCTCTCTTGGAATCCATTGGGGGGTCTAAGATGGGCCTCGGAAGATGACCCAACTAACAGCTTCACCGCCGGGTACACCTTTCGACCCTGGAACCTCGCGCCGGGTACATGGTTGACGAGGGATTTACCACGAACCATTGCAGCATATGAAAGCTCGTACAAACCTGAACCGCAGGAGATCTCAGGATGAGTCAGGTGTGTGGTGATGAATCATGAGAAATTAGCAGATGCTGGAATTTCACCAAAATCACCTTGGTCCTTCTTTTAAAAGAATACATGGAAGTTGCGGGTGTCCCAAGGCCTGCAACAGTCGGCAAACAATGGTCGCTATTTTAGAGAAAGGCCTGCAACCTAACCATCATCATCCATTGGGCACAGGGAATGGGATATACCTAATGTGGAAGATATTGGAAGCACTTGATCAAACCGAAGGGACTTGTGATGAATCACTTGGAGTCAAGCCCGCCTCAAGAAAAATAACCCGAGGGTGGCACGCCAGCTGAGGTGAATGTCTACGCAATGCTGAGGACAGCTGGCATTTACCGGAATGGCAGGAACCTATAAACATTCTAGCGCAGTGAAAGAGAAGAAAACAACGAAAGACGACGCATCACCTGAACAGCATCCGGATTTTAGTGGCATCATCCTGATTCTTGGTTTTCACCCGTGTTCTTTTTGTTTTAAGGGTCAGTGGGCGTGGGCCGACCGTGACTTCACCCCTGTGGACGGACTGAGGAAGCGACCCTGGCACCGTGGCACCGAACATCAACAGAAGAGACGACCTACAAGAGATCAACCTACTCCAGTGCATCCCAGGCAAACCACTAAGGAACCATGGATTCGTTCGGTCTATGGGTTTAGTCTTTGGAACCACTGGTTACCAGCTCTAGTGGTAACTGGATCCCCTGGGTACTAGGGCGACCTACCGGCCTCCAGGATGACCCACACCCACACCCGCGAGTTGTCGGCGGGTTGATCTTGCTGTGGCCAGAAACGGAGGGTTGGTCCGAGGAATGCGGAGGGTTGCGTGTGCCAGTAAGCCTGAGCCCAGCCGATCAACAATGATCCTGATCGCTTGATTCCTCGCAAACGATCTGAGAAGAACGACTGATGCTTTCGACCAGCTTTCGACCATGTTCCGAAGACCAAGCGGGCGTGGTTTTTGAGGTTCCAGGTTGTCCAAATAGCAGGGGAGTACATTCCAGAAGCACAAAAAACACATAATAATTATAAGAATCTGAATCAACACCTTTGTTTTTAACCACTCATTTAAAAATGAAACATTCCAGGTTAGCCAAAACAAAAACCGCCGTCATGGATGATGGTCAGATGGTCATGGTGTGTGCACGAACTCGGTTTCTTTCCTCCTGATTTTGGTACACCTGCAGAGCCCTAGTAGGATGAGATCCCCCCCCACCCCCCAAAAAATAGCTCTGGCCATAGCTTTCAGCGCTTCGCAGGTGGCTTGTTGGTCGACTGTTCAGCTGTTCAGGAGGAGGGGTTCTAGTTTAGTCAGGTGGTCAGGGAGGTCCAGAAATCCAGAGACATCAGTGCCAGGAGCGTGCCCGACAGGCACAAGCAGAGTTGGCAGCTGCCCAGGCGCAAATGAACATCGATGATATGGAAGCAACGCCAGAGAAAAAATAGGTTTGTAGAGTATTTGTTCTGTAATCCAGTCGAGGTTTTTGCCGTATTGTCTCCGGAATGTACTGCTTGGGTGTCAGAGGTTTCAGGTGTTTTTAGGCACAGAAAACCACTTGCAGCAAGAGCATCGTCAGGCAAGGCTGACTGCCCTTGAGCAGAGGTGGGCGGTTTTCGGGGCCTGGATGTGGAGGGATACGCCGCCAAACGGTGTGTGGGGCGTGGGGGGATTTGAGGCCCGGACTGCTTGCATTTGTGCTGGAGCAATTTGTGTTGGTATGAATAAGTCTTCAATTTGAGAGCTTGTATGTTGACATTGACCAGTGGAACATGTGGTCGTTGAGGCTTCGTTTCTGGTCAGTGTGCTGGTTCTTCAGCTGTATTTAGATCTGAATGTTGCAGATTGTAGACACAGAATGAAGGCTGAATATAGCAACACAGTATGTTAATGATCATATACCAGGACCCTCCTGTCGGGGTGCCCTGTCTGGAAGCCTATAGGTAGTGTGGGGTAGTTCAGCCAGGACACCCCGACAGGAGGGTCCTGGTAGTCTAGCTGTTTCAATTGAGTAGACTTGAATGAGGGCTTATGACTTCACACGGGTGTCTTCTCCCAAACCCACCGGACTTACCGGACTCGCGTTACCGGCGCTTGGCGGTGCGACGGGTTGGGGTGTAGCCCCAACTTTGGGCGAAACAGTTGAACATGCAGAGATATGCGAATCATACTGTATTACTATTTACTGTATATAGTTCTAAAGTAGATAGAGCATGGAGGCAAGACAACTCCATTACTATCCCTATCACCTCAACGGGATGGGTCCTATCAAGGTTCCGCCTATCACCTATGGGTCCTGGGTCCTATCAAGGTTCGTCTTCTATTTCAATGACTCAACGATGGTCGTTTTTCTCCAGTCTGGGGATGGGCAAAGCGAGCTCGCTCAATGTGTATGTGGGTCATGTCACGCGTCGCTACGTCGCGACCGGTGGAGAGACCGAGGGTCGATTCCACCGGGCTCCGAACCCGACAAAAAGAGATGCAGGGGAAGTGGATGTACATCAAACATAGATGAACCCGATAGATTTCTGCTATGTTTGATGAACATCAACTTCCCCTGCAATGATCATCAACTTCCCCCTGAACCCAATGTACATCTATGATGGATGAACCCGATGTCTGCAATCCAACATCTTACTAGCTTCGGCCATTCCTCGCGATGTGGAACAGTCCAAACGCTCCAAGACCTAGAGGGCGAGAGGGCGCATGAACGTGTTTCATGATACATGTTGTAGAAAGAACACATCTTGAACTAGTAAACAGCTGCATTTTTCCAGAGCAAGACACGTTGAAACAAAAACTATATATTATTTAGTCTTTTTGGAGGTTGATGACGGGTGTGGCATGGTGACCTCCCTGGTTTCCAAGCGGACGAGTAGAGGCTTACGCATCTGCCTCATCCGCCAGTCCCTACATTGTAGATATTGGTAAGCCTTCGATATTCAGCATATCTGGTGGATATTTTGACTGGTGCTTAGTAGCGAATAAGGGAATTACCCCCGACTATGGATACCTTAAGATCCAGCCATCCTCATTCCTTGCAGTTGCACCAGTCAGTATTGGATAGTAGGTAGTGCTCGATTGCTGTCAGTCTTCAGGCAACGAAGCCTGGAACCGAAGGAGGCCACGTGGGGCGGGTAGCTATAGCTTGGGGCGGAGGAATCATTGCCTGTAGCTACAGATCACTTTGACCATTTTTGACCTCATATTTTACCATAGAGTTGATCATGAGGTTGATCAGGAAGAAGAAGACTCAATGAGGTTGTCTAGGACCAGAGACCTGAGGGCCCTGAGTCAGACAGGACGAGTTGCTGCTTCCCAAAGATGTCCCAGAAGCCAGCTGGATGTCTGTCAGTTCTTGAGACAAAAGACGCGCGCAGAGAGAGAGAGAGAGAGAGATAAAAAAAGAGAGAGAGAGAGAGAGAAACAAAAAAAAGAGAGAGAGAGAGAGAGGGAGGGAGAGAAAAGAAAGGACACAAGAAAAGTGAAAGATCACTCAAGACAAGCAAAGGAGTAAAGAACAGACGATCGCGTTGACGAAGTGAGGTGAGAGCGGTGTGGCACTCGGACCGCTGGATTACGACCACGCGTGGTGGAACACCTTGCACTGCAAGGCTGGACACGCGAAGCACGCAAAGCATGCAACGCATTTAGATACCATTCCGAAGAGTCGGATATCGTCCGCTTGTTAGGAGTGCCTCCTCAACCTTCGGCTACCAGGCGTGGCGTGGCCGGCAGAAGCCTTTCTCCAGAGAAACGGCGTCGACGTTGCCACTGAGGTCGTCGACGGCGAGTCGGACGACGAGGAGCTGAGTGAAGTGGAGGAGGAGGCGTGAGAAGCGGTTCCAAGCACATCACAAATACGATGGTCTGAGCATTGCGTGCCCCAGGCCTTCGAGGATGAAACCGCGGTTCCACCTGCCCACCTCTTTAACCGCCGGTGATCGCACATCGTGCTGAGCGCCGCATCAGGAATTGGGCTGCCGGTGACGCATCGGACGGAGAATCCGACTGGAGCACGGAAGTGGGTGCCGAGTCGCGGGCTCAGCGCCTCTCAGCGAAATTCGGGCCGAGCGATTCCTGACACGACGCGTCTCAGGGATCCAGAAGTGGAGCATGGGCCGGAATTGCGCGAGCCCAAGCTCTGAGAGTTTGGCGCCCGAACCAAGGCCACCCATTGGCGATGAGGAGGGGGACGAAGATGGATGCCTCCGCGTTTTTGAAGGGGGATCCATCGGCTGGGCGTCAGACACCCAGCCTGCAGCTAAGCCGTTTCATTGGTTTCACCCCGGGCCCGCGCCCGGAGAGCGCGCGGCCAAAACAGACGCAGTCCGACTCAGCGAGCCAACATTGGTTTATACATGTTTGTGCGCAATGCTTCCATTTCTGTCTTGAAAAGCAAATGCAATTTGTTCGGCTTCTTGACCGGCTCTTTCTGTCGACTTAGTTTCTTTGCTTGCCCTCGTGTTCGGTTCGGCGTTTGCTTTGAGGCGCTTACCGCTTACTTGTAAGCTTTCCTTGTTGATGTTTCTTTAGGCTCTGACTTATAAAGGGTTTCCCTTTTGTTTCGTCGCTTCACTTCTTCTCCAACTTGTTTCATTGTTTTCTTCCTTCGTCTCTTTCTTTCACTTTGCTTTCCTTCCATCCTTTGCATCTGCCTTCATTGCTCTTCGAGGTTCTGCTTCGTTCTTTCGGTTTTCAAACAAAAAGGCCACCCCAAAGTTTCACGAATAGTGTCACATTTCACCACCTGTTCGGTGAAACATTTATCTTGAACCGAGGTGAGGGGACATGGCGGGTGGTTCGGCCACTCGCCGACCGCATCCTTCGTGAGCGGGCGGCTAGGTTGCCCGAAGGTGTGAGAAACACGCAGGTTTGTTACCTCGTTGAAGGCGTGCTACTCACGCTTCAATATTTGATCATCGCGTGGTGTAGAATGAAAAAGAGACTTGAAGCGCAGAACGCATGGATACTGCAGAGGTATTTTCATTGGCGCTTGATTATTTGCTTTGCTCCACTTTCCGTTGCTTCCGCCGGCCTTTTTTGATGCTCTTGCTTGTCATTTGCACTTCCTGTTGCTTAGTTTGTTCTCTCACGTCAAAACCTTTCTTTGTTTATCTTTCAAAATTTGTTTTTTACTATCTTTCTTTCTGATTTCGTGGTCCTTTTGCTTTCTTCTATGATGCTTTCTTGCTGCTTCTTTTCTGTTCTCTTTGCATGTGAGGAGGTTGATTGAAAACACAAGAGAAGAAAGCAACCAAAGATGAGCACTTTCCGTCCGGGCCCAATGGTCGTATATTTTTGCTGGGGGTGACTCTGTTGTTTCCCGCACTGGGTGAATCCACATCCTAATTAACCTATGTTTAGTGGTTTCTAGTTCTTTTGGGCAAAAACCAAAGGCAGGGTGGCGCTGCATGTCTTCCAACATCTGACCTGACCCGTCCAAATTTTTTTTGGACCTGGCACATCGATAACCGGTGGGTCGAACAGCCGGGAGAACACCGTTCGATCGGCGCGACTTCCGTCGTGCCCACCGTGTGTTCCTTAGAAAGCCATGCCAACCACAACCCCCTTTGACCCTGGGAAAATTTTTGATTGGGAAGATGGGGGGACTACCATCACCTAGAATCAACTACGAATTAGGCCTTCGAACGTTTTCGAAGGCCTCTAGTTCCAAAGTCCAGCCAAATAGATCATGCACGCAGCTTGGGTCTGTCCCATTACCTTTAGCAGTCGGTAAACATTTACAGTTTTACTATTTTTGAACAAGGCCTTACTGAGCATCATTATCCACCTGAGGCCCTGGTAACAGGATAGACCCAACAAACAGCGAATTCCCGCATCACCCCAGGGAGCCTCTTGACCCTACAAGTAGCACACGCGTGCCGCTCATGGCGAGGGAGCGGTTCGACCCGGGAGCGATGGCTGGGGGACCTCCAAGTCTTCCCCATGAGCACCAGGGAGAGTCGGAACTTGAGCGACGGAGGACCCTCCACCCCCGCACCCTTTTTTGATGAACACTCCGTCGCTCCACCCCAGACATGGAAGGGCTCAAACCTGTGAAGAAGCCTGCGGGGGTTTGATTCATCAAGAGTCTGCATTGTTTGCATGCCCCACAGCACCCTCATCCTTTGATCTTCACACGTTCCCCATGTCCAGGAGCGCACGGGGTCCTCCGTTCCTTCCTCGCGCTTCTGCCTCGAGGCTGAGGCGTCACTACCGTGGCCTTTTTGGGTGGATTTCCCGGAGGATTCATGGGTGACTGGAGGATAGATTGATGATGATTGATGGATCCAGGAGATGGTCACACTCCGTTACACTCGAACACATCACATGGTTTCGTCGATGGCGCCCCCTGTTTGGAGAGGGGAGTTGTCCCCGAAGGGGGGCCATGCCATTCACTTCAATGTGATGTGTTCATCAGAGTGGTTATCAGTAGATGTCTTTGATAAAGCAAAGCAGCACGCCTTGGCCAGGACCGGACATCTCTACAAGAATCCTGTGAGAAGGTACAAACACCCCATATAAGAAAGTCGCCTTCGCGCGTCCATGTTTCGAGATTCCGAAAGCATGCTCAATCCTCTGGTAGCTGGAAGCTGCATGAACGGAGAATGTCGTCCATCCTTCCATGCCGTCCATGAACAACAAGACCATTTCTGAACAACAACACCGCCAACCACCATGAACAGGCATGAAACACTAAGCGTGTTGCTCTATTTTGAAAAAGACGGTGGCCCAGTGGAGTTCCAAAATGCTCAAACCTTTGAGTCGATGAGTCGATGGGTTTTGCAGCGAAAAGCGTCCGTCGACTGGGAGGACTCTCCCGATCGATCGTCCTCTCGACGTGTTCGACTCCAGGCTGAGCCACTGGAGTCGACCGAGGAGCTTCGGACCTTGATGTTTTCGGAGCTTCTGAGCCATTGAGAGGACCCACCTGCGCCCCCAGAAACGCTGCACATCAGGAAGGTTACTACGAGGCCTTGTGGTTCAATCATGGGCCTTGAAGTCCTAGGCTCGAAGACCAAACACCAGGAGAGGGGTCCAAAGACATCCAAAGAACAACATATCGGCACAAAGACCAACGGTTTCTGTTGGGAGAGCTCGTGAAAAAGAAACTGCTAAGCTCCCATAGCATCCTGTTTGTAGGACAAAACCCATGGTTTTTTACAGATTTGAACACACGCAACTGCAGGTGTGAAGCTTAGAGGTGTCCGACTAGCCACCTGTGGAACAGTCGGTCAACCATGATCACTATATTTCAGAGATGTCGGCCTGCAAGCAGGCCCCATCATCATCCACTGGATTCCACTGGTCCCAGGGAATAGGATGTGATATATAATAACCCAAACAAGTTCCTTTCAATGCTCAGGTGCCCGTTTCACGGGTTGTCCACTGACCCGTGTGTCCAACGGTGCGAACGGCGGGGCAATGCGGCGATGCCGGGACTCCTCGGCACACCCAGGAGCGCAGCTGCGAGTCGAAGCAGGTGCGAGGGAGACGCGACGCCGCGGAGTGTGCAGGTGGGAGGCAAAGGAGTGCGTGATGAACTACGGAGCAATGTGACGGTATGACTCAGTGTACCTTTTGTTTCATGCTTTTCTTACTCATTTTGCTCATTCGAACAGCCATCTTCTCAAAGATCCGAATCTCCCTTCCGGATCACTCCGGATTCTTCAGGTGCTTCACATGTAGGTGATCTTGATGTTACACTTGCATTTCAGGTCACGCCCCCATTGGCACCACTGGATGGCCGGAGTCTACGCTCGATGTTCTGCTAGCTTACTTTAGGCCGTGTTTCGGCACCGCCGGTCAGGTACCGCGGAAACGGGGGGTCGTGTTCCGGGGGGAGGTTCACCTGCCCAAGAGGTTGAACTCACTCACCTCACGGAGGGAAACCCCACGTGGATCAAATGGGCCATGTTCAGTTCACCGATTCCGCGTTTGGAAGGCGAGCTTCTCTGAGATTCTCTGGAAGGGTTCCTTGCACCGACTGGCCGCCGACTGGCCCAAAATAGCTCAGGTTCTATATCTACAGGTCAGTTTGACCTCCTTTTATTGAAGTTGGTACTGTAATACAAAAACAGTACTGAATAAGGTAAATGGCCAGGTTTTGCTGGGTCTTTGGACCTGTAGGGTCCTCTGAAAAATGTTGCAGGAGGTCCGTCTTCCTTCCGTGGAAGTGATGTCCTCTTTCATCGAATCTTCCACCCAGTTCCACTGGAGTTCCATGTGGCGCAAGTGTCGGATCCCCACGAGTCAATTTCCACACAGAAAGCTAACTCTGCAGATGACGCAGAGTTTCAACTCTGCAGACTGGGGCCCTGTGTCTCTGAAGGACTCTGAAGGACTCCTCTTCAGGATCCCTGAAGGACTCGTGGCACCGGGAGACCGAAAGCTATTGATCCCAACAATGAACAGAATAGGGAAGTCAACCTACCAGGAAATTTAGGACTATGGGGTTGGGCCCAGCCCACCATTTCCCTGAACCTATTGACCCATCGAAAGCTATTGATCCATGTGCAGCGAGAGATCATTCGTGGCCCTGCTACACGAATCAGTCGGTGGGGACCACCTTGAGCCTTTATTGGGGGGGGCTTCCCTGCACAAGTTCGGCTGCGGATAGTGCTTATGTGTTAGCCGTTCTGAAGCTAGGTGGTGGCAACCTCCTGAAAAGCCAGGAAGAGACCTGCAAAGTATGTATAAACCCCTATGAGAGACTTCCACATACATAATCCCAAGGCACGGTCACCGCAGCCGAAAAGATCAGGCAACGCGCGAGCCAACGCCGTTCGCATGCATCAGATTTTGCAAAATACCGTCAGCGCGCCCCGTTGCCCGTTGCTGCAGAACGTGACGCGATGTTCAGCGTGTGCAAGGGTGGGCCATAATAGGGGCCTTAATAGGACTGGCGTGTAGTAGCGCATAGGAGATTGCTTGAAAGTGGGCACGTTCCACTTGTTCTTGTGTGGAGTTGCGGGCTTTGCCAGCAAAGCCACGCCGTGCTTGCTTACTCTTCCCAAGCGCAGGAGAAGGGCACTGAGGTTGCTGGGGAGGTGGGCCGAGACCTTGTGGTGTGTTAGCTGTGCACAGATGTCCAAATACAAGCCAGGCCAACTTGTCAGGTGATATAGCCAAAAGCAAATGCCAGACCAAGCAACATATCTGAACAAGCCTTAGCGCCCAAACACATGCAAGACTTGCTGTCAGAACCATTTTCGATCACGTGCCAGAAATAAAGGCTCGAGTACTTACATTGTCAGAACGCATGTCGTATGTCGGAACATGAAGTAACCAGACGCATGCCGCATGCCAGACTTGATTCCAGAACAAATGTTTGTTTGTTTTTGGGGGTAGTTTGTCAATGCGTAATCCTTGATTTGTTTGATTAGAAATCACCTCTTGGGGTGGGGGTCATGTGAAGCACAAGCTAATTGAGCTGGCCATAGCCATCACCAAGTCAACGTGGCAGGCGCACCCAGAGTGGCGCGCTGAACCTGAGGATCCAGGCTGGATCCGCCCACTGCAGGGCCTTTCGTTTTCCCCGCCACGCACGATGAGGTTTTCCTCAGCCAGCTGCCCCTTGAACGATAATTCCTTCTTTTCGTGGAAACCACAAGAGCTGATGCAGCTGCGGAAGGATCCAGATGTTTCAGGTGTTCCCGCATCGAATTTCAAAATACGATCTCTTGACCCCCCCAAGCAAGGCACAGCGTGGCCCAGCAAAGCAATACGTAACATCAATGACGGTGCGCTTTCCTCGTATTGTGAACGCTTCCACATATCCACCAGCACAGTTCTTGGTTGGTGTTGCTGAGACTTGTGGAAATGACGAACGGCAGGCAGACCAAGTCAAACATTAGCTGACGAACTGTTCCAAAATGTTTCAACATCAAATTTCAGTTCCTCTCTGCGTTTTGTGCTGTCGTTTTTTTTCTGCCGGAATATGAGGAGACCTTTTGAGAGTGATCCTGACAAGTGAGCAAAAATGGTTCATCCTGGCCCCTCTTAATGCAATTTGGACTTGCTTTAAGTCTTTGTCGCCCACTATCAGCAGTTGTGACGGAGGATACTCAACCAAAGTCCCTTCAATCTCATTCCCCACAAAAGCATGCACCATGTTTTCTTGTTGACAAATCTGATCACCTGCCGGCAACGTGCTGTTTCTGCCAGGTGACCTGAAGCATACGACTCCAACGTCGCCTGACGAGAAGAGCCATGGCTTGAGCTACTTGGCCGGTTGTCGGGGGTTGAGCCCGGAACAACCTTTGACCGGGGGATTGGGGACACCACTATATAAAACACGAGCATTTGTTTCATTCTTTCTTGTCCAACAAAAGCTGAGCCATTGGTTTCCCCAATTGTCACCAACAATGTCACCACAGCATCATGAGTCCCCAGAGTGAACGCAAAGTCAGTAATTACTTGATTCACCATTGTTGCAGCGTTGACCATGGTGACCAACAACAAACAGGTGGAAAGTTTGGTTCGTTTTCATATTTCAGGGAAACTGATTGGATCTGATTGGTTTCCCCACTCAACCACTCAAGTGTTTTTTTTCATGTTCTTCCTAATTGGCAGGTCCTCAGCGGAAGCCGACCTGGCCGAGTAGGGCGAGACGTCACTCCCCCAGTCCCAACAAACGTGGTTTCATCAGCCCGTTGGGATCCGTTTTCGTACCTTCTCCTCAGGTTCGGCACGACTGGAGGAGGGTCCACAGCCACCCCAGTCCCACCGAACCGGTTCGGTAGCGACAACGGATCCCAATGGGCTTTCTCCTGCCACTCCGCGTCCGCGTCCGCGTCCCGCGTCCCGCGTCCACAGGCGATACGTCGCCGTCTTCACCACCGGTGCCCTGGGCCGTCAGGGGCGCCCGGTCGACGGGTGGAGGGGCAAAGCACCGAGGAACCGAAAAAGCCCAGTTACGACGTTTGAAGTGTTTTTTTGGTTCTGAACCACCTGTTGATGCACCTCTCTTGGTTGTTGTGCCGTCTTGGATTTTTTTCCCTGTAGCTTGGATGGTTTTGGAGCTGGTGTTTTAGGTGCCAGTGTCCTTCCCCACTCGAATGCTCCGTTTTGATGACCATGTCGCTGAAGATCGACGCTGCGCAGCTCGGGGCCCGAACGGTCCGGGGCCCCGACGTCCGCCTTCTCTCAGGGCAGTGCCAGCACCAGCACACGCTCCTCCGAGTTCCGGTAAGACCGGAACCCACCCGACTGAGGCCCGGGTCCCGCTCGATCCTTTCCCCGCGTTATGCGCGCGCATTCGGCGCGTGGGTGGGTGTTCCGTTGGGGGGGCGGCGAAGAGTTGGGGGCTCCGCGCTTGAAAAAGACCACGCGGAAAGGGGGAGGTGAAGCTGCCCCGTGGGTTTTCGGGCGTTTTCTGACTTTGGTGTAAGAGGGTGGCGATGAGGTTGATTTTGCTTGATCCAGAAGGATTTGACTTCTGTAGATCGAGAGGATGTTGTAGGTTCAATCAGTCTTTCGTAGGATTCTGGTTCCCTCCAATGAGCATCCCCCCATTTCTGTTCATTTCCCAGAAGTAGGCATCGTCCATGATCGACCACCTTCCCTTTGGTTGGATCCTTTCTGTTCAACGAGCCCACTCGGCCAGCTTTCATCCATTCCAAAGAGGTTGGGTAAAGCAGACCTCAAACCAGCAGAGAGGCTGGGGGGCAAACTGAACTTCGACCTGGTGGCGACCATCATCAGGGAACTTTTTTGAACCCAACATTAGAATTCAGAGATGAGATATATGATGTATGATACCCAGGGGATCCAGTTACCACTATAGCTGGTAACCAGTGGTTCCAAAGACTCAAACCATGGACCATAGACTTAGAATCCCTGGTTCCTTATATAGTGGTAACTGGGATCCACTGGGATATATTATGTTGATATAATATGTTGATATACGTTGATACTTCATTGGTCTTATGAGTTCGATGCCCACCCCGGTTTCAAGCAGCAAACATGCACTTGTGCACGTCCAACCTAACTTGTACACCTCTTCATCCTCTGAAATTGGAATAAGACCTGCTTGAGAAAGCGACCACCAGCAGCTGGGGGCCATCACCCATCAGCCGCAGATGTCTGGAACTCCTCCCTCGTCGAAGACGCTGTGGAGGAGGTCACTGACGCAAAAACGCGAAGAATCTTGGAGGGAGGAGAGCTTTCCTTGGTTCGGTGGCATGCCTTGTCTGTTCTGTTCTGAGTTCGGCGCACAGAACAGCATCAATGTTTTCACATGTGTTCACCCCTTGTCCGAAGTTTCGCCAGGTCTGTTCTGTGGCTGAGGGGTCCCCAAATATCAATATACCAGGACGATGGGACTTACGATGAAGAGTCCTACACGGGGGGTTGTTCAATAGCCAGCAAGGAGACAGAAGCTGACTTTGGAAGCTGATTTAGTAAATCATATGGAGTATCAAAATAGGGAGACCTCCCAAACATGCCCCGGAAGAAGGGGAGTAGACCAGTCTACTCATTGTCGGGGTCTCCCTATTAAATTACACACCCATCTGGAAGCATATGAAAAGATGATAACACAATATCACATATGGATGATTCTAAGATCACGTGTGCTTTCTGTTCAGAACTGGGATATTGCAGCATATTGCAGCTCTCTATGGATAGTGGCTCGTGTCAACTCCACGTACCACGAGTTCCAAGCACTCCCTCCCTTTGTGGAATCAGCAGAGACTCGCATGCCTTCAATTCGAGAGACTCGCATGCCTTCAATTCGGGGCATGGTCTTGCGCAAAGAAAAGAAACCCACCATAAAGAAACTCAACTACAAAGCGCCCAGTTCAAAGTCGTTTTTTGGACATGTCTCTCTATCCAAATCAAGCAGCAAGTGCCGTATTCTTTTGGATGCACCGCACTGCTGAATTGGACTGGGGATGGAGACGGGGGACTGGCTGCCCAGTTTTGCCAAGTCCAGAGAAGAAGGCCATCCGGTCATTTAGGGGAAGAGATGAAAGATGATGAAAGAATCCAGAGTTGTTGGACCTTTTTTCATTTGTTTGCTTGACTTGGAAGTGTTCCACACCTCAAACACCTCGCGCTGTTGGTACACTTTTTCTTTCTGGAAGCGTGGAGGTCACCACCATCACGGTGGTCTTCGGAACATGCTCAGGTATGGGATACACTATCCAAAGAGGGTTCAGACAGGTCTAAGACCTTCCAGGCAACGACTTGGTTGGAAGATTTCGGGAGGATTCACCCCAAACTCGGTCCTGACAGCGTCGAGACATGAAAAGGACATCTGTAGAGCCAGCACTGGCGACTCAACTTTTGCAGCCCCGGCGTGACGCGAGTCCGTCCGAAGGCGGTCCATTTCCGGCGAACTGGAAGATGCTTTCTTCGTGTTTGTTTAGAAAGGGATACTTAGAAAGGGGGACCAGCCAAACAGCCAAGCAACCAAGCAACCAAAACGCACAACGTGTTTTTCTCTATTTTCTTGCTTCGAAGGGTTTCACAGTAATACACACCCATTATGGGTTCTAGTCACACACTCTATTTTATTCAGAGTCCTTGGGGGCTGTCAACACAAGTTCCATATCCATGTCGTTGGCATCCGTTTGCGGCATGGAAAACGGCAAACGGTGACTTTTTCCGGATTGGATTGGCCACCGATTCGTTCAGCACTGATTGGTCAAGGATTCGTCCGTGAAATTTCATAGGGTTTAATGGTTTGAAAGTGCACTGGGAGAGAACCCTACCTATAGGATCTATTAGGATCCCTTTCTTGAAGCTGCAGATCATCGTTCTATATATTTTTCAAGTGCCGACTGTGGATTGCGAACAAGTTCTATGTGCATTTAAATTCAAAAAAGGATCCTCCACGATCACCAATTCAGACCGTAGGAAGAGCCCAACTACCGTCCCCAAACAGACCAGTTGGAGGAAACGTCCAGAGGTATTGTCCTATGAGGGTGTGCCAAGGTCAACCAGCCATTGCTAAGCTGGCATTAGCTGGCTAGGCAATAGGCACGCCACCTTGTTGTACCATCGGCTCGGCCAGTGATGTCCGCTATCCATACCCTTTAGACCCGTTCGACTTGAAGGGAGCTGGAACCGCGAACTTCTTGCCTGGCACAAGTCAACAACTATAAGTTTAATTTGTTTGACATCCCGGAATCCCTAGTCTACAATGATGACATGACCACTTAGTCTGGCAATTTTCTATTTTAAAAAGTATCCCAGACACTCCATGGGACTGGCATATCTTCCGATCGGTTGAGGCGGTTTTGGGGGTCAATGGGGCGGCAGTCCGGATTGCCAGTCCCAGACAGGTCGTGTCTGGGTATGTTCAATCCTCAAATCCACGGATGACTGATCCCCTTGCGGATGAGAAGCCGGGCCCATGTGGAGAAGTCAGAGAAGGTCTGCACTCAACTATAGCAAACAAAATTAAAGTGCACGAAAAACGATCCAAATCGAAGTGGAGTTCTTCCGAAGTCGGGTGCCCTACAGGGCACTGCAGGTCCAGAGAAATGGGCCGCCGTGTAAATTGCGGCCGTTTCGGTGCCTGCACCGCCGCACTGCCGCATAGACCCACTCAGCGGCGGGCGGTGCGGGTGGCCAGTGGGGATCGATCACGGACTGCGTGATGGGAGAAACAGCCGCGGATGCGGTTCTTGAGAGATCTTTTAGCTGTTGTGTGGCTACATGTGGCTACCAGTCTTTCCTTCTGCAAATCACCTTCGGAAGCTAGAGAGCACCCTTGGTTCTGACTAAGAGCAAATCCAAGACCGCCATGTTCCCGAACGGAGCGTCCTGTTTGCTGCGTCCTGCGGTCCGCCCGGGACAGTGAGGGGACTGCAGAGAAGCTGGAAGCCTCGATGTTTAGCATGATACAGAGGAGTGTCTATTCAATTAGGGAGAACCCCATAAAGATGCCTGGTCAAAGGGCAACCCAAGATGTACACTCTGGAAGATTAACATGGAAGCTGAACACCACTGGTTTGTGGAGGAACATCATCTTCCAGTCTGGTCCATGCCATCAGGTTCGTTCATTTTCCCGTAGTAGTTCCGCTGTTGGCTGAGACTTCCCTTCGATTTTGGTTGAGACTTCCCTTCCGTCCGATGTAGGGCTCCATGTGTTCGATGTGACCGTCACCTTGAGCCATGCGGCTTTAGACCCGGAGAGCCCACCTCCCGGCAGTGGGTGCCCAAGCACATCCAAGCACCCCAACCGACCTCGGACGTGGAGCCCAAACGGGAGATCAGCACGGGGATCAGCTTCTCAGACGGCTGCTTGGAACCTCAAAAACCGAAGAGAACGGTGAAGATTGGAGTGATTGTTCGTGGCCTCCTATGACCATCTATGACCGGTTGATTGGAATTTGACTGGATGTGGTCCTTCGGTGATATGTGGTCCTTGCCTCCCGTTTTTTTGGAGTTCAGTCTTCTGCTCACTGCTGGTGATTTGCATGCTATGAATGTTCCGCGCTTGCCGCAGCAGGATCGACTGTGGCTCGAACGAACGGTAGGGGCATGTGATGTGAGCCATGACACAGGCAGAGAAACCGCCCGTGTGGTGCATGGGGTCTGTGCTGTCGGTTCTTTCATCGAGCTTCTCGTATCTATTGAAGATCCAGGAAGATACGTGAGCCGACCCATTGCAACTGGTCGCATGCCTGTGTTAGGCAGCACTGGGACGCCCTGAAACAACCCTGGTTTTTGGCCATGTTCCCTGGTTGACAGCTTTGAAAAGCTGATTTTGAGTGGATGCAACTGCAGGGTGCAAATAGGTCGCTGGACCAACAGAGGTTGAAGAACCCGACTTAGACTATCCCAGGTCATCGGTACCTCAGTTGGGTGCGTTCGTTCAGGTCACTCTCCACCTCTCTTGGGATTTGGAACTATAGCTGAGACCATCTCCTTTTGTTACCATCTCAGAACTCGGACGGCTCAAATCCCAAAGACCCTCGGTACCCTTCCGAACCACTTCGCCTCGGTACCGTCCTGAACTCCGTCGCAGGGTCGAGTGGCCCCTGGCGGCCTCATCCACACAGGCGGGGCACGTGGCAGCGCAAACGTGGCGCGCGGCACGTGCGCCGATGCACGTGCTGCGCCTGCGACGCTTTCTCCATGAATGCTGCCCAGCCATGAACGACCCAAGAAATTCCAACGTCACTTCCTCGCAACGTCCATCCGAGTCCTGGTCCTCCAGGTGGCAGTGTTGCGGACACCAATTCCGATGTGGTCCGACAGGAGATTGGGTTGAAAGTCGAGCAGCGAGAACATGAGATGCAACGGGATTCTGCTTGCACTGGCTCCTAGGCAACCTATGGCATCCTGAGTCATAAGTAATGTGTGATGGATGAGAGGATCAAATGCTGAAGAGATTGCATGAGGTTCCATGTCGTTTTACAGTCAAGAATGGTTGGTGGATGGGGTGTGTGATGGGGCATTGTAGGGTTCCTTGAAGACTCACTTGTGAGAGAGTTCCAAGCACGCCTGGCTGTAAGTTGCACTGGGACATTCCAAACATTCAGGGTCACCACTACTACCAACCTAAGCTGTTGATGCCTTGATAGTTCATCGGTACTCATTGGGTTTGAAGATCACTTGGAAACTGGTTCGTCGTCGACGGTTTTTGGAGACGAATAGGAAGACCAACTTGGCTGCAGGTGTTGAATGGACGTCACGTCTAGGAGTTTCTAGAGCGCTAGCAATACTTAATTATATACATAGTTGTAGTATATTTATATGTATAGCCGGTTTAAGAAAATATGTGGTATATTGTACTTAAGATACAAAGTACTTTACCACCACATACTAACCCAGATAGCCTTGTGGCCACAAGCTGTTTGCAGGAAGGTTCCATTTTTAGCTTTGTATTGCTTGATGACAGATTGTCTTGAACATGTTCCAAGCTCACCTTGTTTGGTTAATATGAGCTCCACCTGGTAGTGAACTAGCATCTTTAGTAGGGTGGATCCTTCAGCTGGAATCTTGCAGTGTGCCGCCATGTTTCCATCTAGGATCTGTTTGGACCTTCTACAGGCAAGTTCTTCTACTTTTCATATCTATTCTTTATGAACCAATGGCAATAGACCGCTTCAGTCGATCTCTCTACGTAGACCTCGCGAATCTCGTCGCTCAGTCCGTCCCGATGTTACCAGGACACGCCTCGGGCGCTCTCCTTCCCTTCTCTCGTGCTGGGCGGACACAGGCGGAGCGTCTGGTTCCGACGAC